TGTTTAAACTACTAGAATAAAAGAAACTAGACTAGAAATAGGACGAGGCCCCAATAATTGAGGAGAAAATGTCAGATGCCGAATCTGTTAGGAGTTAATAGATGTTCCGAAAGTAATTAAGAATTGACCCCCAAAATGGGATTGTAGTGAGGCAACGCAGTGTTGTGGAGAAGGAGGCGGCTGAAATAAGAGGAATTGAGAATGTTTTCAACCGTGTTAATCTTAACTTAAGAAAACAGGGAGCTAAAGAGGTGGACTTAATCCCCAAGGAGATATTTCCATAAGGGCTGACTACCTTTGTCGAGGAATTTGGTTGTAACAATTATTTAAAACTATTCATTAAATTAAACTGGTAATTTTTGGAGAAATCAAGGAGATGTTCAGAGGAGGAATACAAAGAAAACAGATAAAAACTATTTAGAAAGATTATAGAGAACATGATAAATAAACAGAATCTAGTAGAGATATAAGAGAACAATTTGGAGAGCATTAGTGATCTAGTCAGAGGGCTACCCTCTAGTATTGATTGGCTGTTTGAGGGATCGGAAGTGTAAGTGTTTTTTAAAGGCTAAATGTAACCAACGATCGTAGTAGCGAGACTGGAAGTGGAATCCAAGGGGAAATTATTCTGGTTCTAAATTGAAGAAGATAACTGGAGAATAGTATGGCACCAGATAATGGTAAAATTTTATAACTGCTTGACTAACGAAACATGAGAAGGAATGGTGAAAATTAGCTTGGATGATGTAATGACCTGTCCCATGTGTGAAAACAACTTTAGTGCTCTAGAGATACTCAAACACTCCTGTCCATCCGGTTTGGCCCTGGATTTACCAAAAGGCTGGCCAAAATGATTTATTATTCAACATCGCACATATATATATATGGCAAAAATAACTTAGAAATTAAATAATAAATAATTGAATTAAAAAAATAATGTAGACAATAGCATTTTATATAAAAACTAAAAAAATGAATAATAGACTAGAAGCAAATAATGAAATCCAAATTCTGATGTATAAAGTGCAAATTAAGTAGTAAAAGCAAGAACAAATCAGTCGATGCAGAGAAAAAGAATTATATATATAGACTATAATAAATTAAATTGAGGCTGATCTTAAAAATGAGAACGAAAAGGAAAATTATTAAAGAGGAAGATTATGATAATAATAATAAGGCTAACCAAAATATTGTGAGAGGAAACAAACTTGTGTGATAATTATTTGGAGGAACATAATAGAGAAGAAGAAACATAGGAAGCCCAAAGTTAATCGAGTAGTAAACACAATCCTAAGAAATGAACTTGAAGACTAAGATGAATCAAATATGAATTAATATCAAGAAAAATTGATGCATTATAATAAGCAATCCTAAAAAGGGACTAATAGAAATTGTATGTTGAATAAATTTATTATTTCATAAAGGTAATGTGGGAAACTAATAGCATTGTGAGTTAATGATAAGATCCTTATTTGATCTTGGGAAAGCGTGGATTTTGAAGATTTAAAATATTAGAGAATGATTTCAGCCTAACAATACTTTTAAAACACAAAAAAAAGGATGACAGAATAGATTACTTTAATAATCTTTTAAGCTCAAGAATATATTTAATAATATGTGTTTAGAAAAGAAGTAATTGAAAAAATCAATAATTAAACTTTGTAGTTAACATTTTTATAATCAAGTGATCTTTGCTATATTAAGTTGAAAGAAATGAAAAAAGTGATTAGTGATTACAAGATTTAATTACAATAAATAAATGTGAAGGAACAAATAAATTTAGACATTCGAGTTGCTATAAGTAGAATAGAAATAAAGTTAATGATTTGAATATGAATTTCTTTCTAATATATTTAAATTTATGTATTTGAATTCTTCATTATTCTAATGTTATTCCTAAAGAGAACTTCATAAATAATGTTTTAAACAATAATAATTTTATATAATATAATTCATGTGGGCATTTATCCTTTCGAGTGAATTAACTTAATAGTTAGAATATTAAAAGGAGAATATTAAAATTGCTTAAATTTATTTCAGCTCAATTAGAAAAGCTCTGATACTGTAATCGATGACTAAATTTTGAATTAAAGGTAAAAAAATCTAATAATTAATGTTTGTTGTTCTTTGGAATACCAAAACTGATTATGGCATGGATGACAGCAGAAGAACTCCCTCTTAGAATACTCTGCAAATCTGTAATAACCATAATATACTAAAGTCCACATAATTCAATAAAAAATTAACTCCTATTGTAAAAATTTCTAATTATATCATTTTCAATATAATATTATGAATTCTAATGGATTGAATAGTTTTTATTAAGGAATTAATTTAAACAACTTTACAATAATTTTTTCTCGGATTTAGGTCTTATTCATCCTTTGCCATCAACTTTTTTTTTTATCTATCACAAATACAATTAAGCTAATGTCATTCCTACATTGCTTACAATTTTCACTTTAGATATCAATTTTGAGAATTGTATATGATTTAAAGCCTTCCATATATTTGTCCAATCATCTAATTAGAGATTCTATAGTTATTTTTATAATTTATAAGATTTTTTCTTTAGAATAATCCATCAAATTAATTTGAGCTGTCTAATTTCCTTGATATACTATTCTACAATAATTTTGGCTAATAATTCCTTTCATCCTTTTGAAGTAGGTTCAATTATAAAGGCAACATTATATTCTGAATTCTATTCCAACAATTATTGCTATTTTGCTTTTATGATCGACAGCACTATCCTCAATACATAATATTTTTTAATTGTGATAAATAGTTAAATTTAAATAATCATGACAGTCTAAATATCTATGGATAGAAACTGTAATTAGCAAGCAACAATATTATCATGATCTTCGAAAAGCTTAATTAAATTTGAATTACAACCTGAAAGTTTTCTCAAGTCAATTAATATCACCACATATTGATTTAATGTTTAGAAAATTATAAAATTTTTGTTTTTCATTCCAATTTTATTGGATAGCATAAATTCTCATTAGCTTATGTTTTCGTTATATTCGAATAGGAAATATTCATTCCTGAACTCCCCATTTCTTGAATAAATCTAAGAAGTGGTTTGAACTGATGATCAATTAAGCAGAAATTTCTCATTTAACTCTAATGATATTATTTTTTTTCTAGTATAATAGTGAAATCTAGCTTTGAAATGAAAAGATAAACGAATTTTAAATGTATAACAAATTTAATGAGGATAGTCTCTTCTAATAATATTTTTCTTATCACCCATGAATAAATTTTGGATTCTGCTTTGTTACTGCTTACTATATAGATATTTGAATAATAAAAGTTTTTTGGATTAAGAATTAAGGTTTTGAAGAGGAAATGATTCTCTCATTTTTAAATAAAAGTCTTAATATGTCAATGGTATCAAATATTTCAAAAACAAACAAAAACAACCTGAATTGATAAGGTAATTAGCTATAATATCCACATAAACCAATATTCTATCAAAGTCAAATTAATTTTTTGAGATTAAACTTTTACATGTGTTAATAGACTGTTCGTTTTTATTGTAAGAGTATTTTTTAATTTAAATATGAAAGAAATTCAAAAAGAAAAAAATATTATTTTTTACAGATGATTTTGTTTTTCATTTTTTCATTTTAGAGTTAATCTAAGTGTTTAGCTGAAGAAATTTCTCTCCCATTAATTTATTATTAAATCAGGTTTCTTCAATCAAAAAAATACAATGTTTTGAATTAAATTAACACTAAAATGCAAAATAAGGGCAGAAAAACAGAAAGATTATTTAATGACTATATATTTAGAACATGTTAAACCTAACCAAAGTCGAAAAATACAAAATTTTAAAAATCACATTAAAATTAATTTCTTACATGAAGATAAATTGTTTTATTGAACTTATATTATTAAATACTATATATGATTCATTACTATTCTAGTAGTTTTTATTTATTTGAAATTGATAAATTTCATATCAACACTGATCAAGGATTTATCAATTTAAAATAATTACGAAATGAATACAGTCTTGCTAATCTATATGAATCTAAAATTATTGTTCTTTAAATACCTAGCCTCATTAAACAGTGTTGAAAAGAAATTCAACCATGACTTTCTTTAATATTATTTTCGTCGTTTCTTAATGGAACTTAATTCTGACTTCAACTAAAATTCGTTTTGCAATGATTTCAGTAGCACAAAATTAGTTATCAGAAGAATTAGATTTTTAAAACTAATGATTTAGAGCTTTAGGTTAAAATAGTTATTATAGATATTCAATTGGTAGTTCCAAATTCTTTATGCTTTTCAGAAGTAAGTATATTTAGTCTAGGTTAAGATATCTAGATTGTGAATACATTCATGTTTGCATTAGAACTAAATACATACATACTGTTAATAGTTCTTGCACCTAGACTCAATAAAAATCGTCTTCAATATATAATGGTTTAATCGAGTTTAACTCTCAAAAAACAATCATTTTTTCTAATTTGTTGCTTTTATTGAACATTATAATTCAAACTTTGAAAAAAACTAATTTAGCCATAGTTAATATTTTTTTTAAAGATAATAAAATCTGAAAAACCTAGAACTGAAGAAATTATTATTGTTTTCAAAAATAATTATTTTTTGCACTTTTCGAATTTCATAAACCAAAAAATGGCATTATACATAACTGGAAAATGAAAGGTATATAATCTGAAGTTTAAAAATAACTAACTTTAATAGTAGAGCACATTATAAAAGTAAATAATAATTATATAATTTAAGATAAATTGGAAATCGAGGTTTATAATTGAATTATAACAATTGGTGTATCCAAAATTTGCGGTTTTTAAGCAAATTGAATTTTTGAATTAGCACATTAATAAAATATCAAATGAAAGCTTTTCTCTTAGTATGCCTGATCGCCACATCAATGATGGTTAATGCAATTGAGATGCCCCAAGAGAAAGCCGTAAATGCCAAATCAGATTCACCTAGTTTCCTCTAAGTCGAATAAGCTTGTGCAGTCTGTTGCAATGGCACATGCTGCCTTAGCACTGCTAATTGTAACAGAGGAAAGTGCAATAATATAGTCATACCTTATACCTGTGTTTAAGGATGATATTATATTCATATTAGAATTAAGTCATACATTTTTCAATATCATTATTTTCTATTTCTCATGTATAAAACGAATACAACATTGTTGATAATGTTGAAATTTGACTTTAATTTTTCTCTACATAATAGCATTCAAACCACTTTTCAAAGAATTATTCTAGGCATGATTTCTTTTGTTCAATATAGGGTAATTATTAATCATTTTTGCTCAAAGAATTTTCACTAATCTTCTTATCTCTTTTCAAACTATATGCCTTACAATCACATTTTGAATAATTTGAAAAATATAGAATATCTCATTCACCTTTCAGGTTAATACCCCATCCAAACTACATTCTCTCGCATATTTTTTAGTAAAGATGTTGAAAAGAAGAAGATATTTGTTAATGTTTAATATAGTCAATATGTAATAGTAAATACCATTATATAGTGAAAATCGCCTAATTAGATTCCTCCATCTGCTCATTTTATTAATGACACAAAAAGAGATTAGAAGAAAAGGGATATAAATAGTTGAAGATTGTAAGAAAATCAATACAATATTTCTTTTTAAAGTAGTTGTAGAATTAATATTCATAAATTAATTTTATAAAAGATAGTTTTTATTATAAGAATAATAATAAAATTTGTTGTTATTATAAAGAGACTTATGACAATAAATGATTTTCCTTTTAATAAGTTATTGAACTTTAATTATTAGTATTTCATCTTTTAAGTAACAACAACTGTTTTATATATTTTTAGATGATTATTACAGATGCTAAAATTGTTTCTTACTTATGCAATCACCTTGCAATGGAATTTGCCAGATCTTAATTTCATTTTAGAATTTTATAGTTTTTTAGAAAAATTCATTAAAATTTGAAAAATTATTTATATTATTTAAACTATTAAAATTTATATTATCAAAGAATTTTATTTTTTAATTATATTTATTTCATAATGAGTTTTATTTCATATTTAATGTTACTAATCTTTTTATTATTCAGAATATTGAACTCCATATGTTAATTGGCCTATTTAAACTGTATCTCATCAAATGCATTTTTGGTTATTTTCTGTTAAATTTTTAATTATTATTATCCTTTCCCATTCAATCATCTTCTGGTCAAGTATTTAAGCTAATTAATTTGCCTATCTTTTTGATATAACCAATAAGTAAAGGTATTTTTCAGGATTGAATTTCAATTTTTTATGATCTTACTTTATTATTGAAAGAGATTGAGAAAAATGAATGATTATATTCACTTTTTTTATGATATATTCCATAGTCTCCACGAAACAAAAAGTTCAACAACTCTTAGATCTTTTGAGTGAGTATAAAATAATATGCATAGATAATGTTAAAATTCCAGATAACAACATTAATAGAAATCTTAGTTGAGTATTTTATGTAATTAAAAATAAAGTACTATTTCTTTAAATTAATTCCATATTTTTGAATTAAGTATCAGCCCTATATCTACCAATAGGATGTTATACACTTCTGGAGGTTGTGAAAAAGAAAAAAAAAATTTATAACATTTTAAGTAATTTAGATTTAACGAACACAGCAAATGAGTGGCCTTTAAAATGTTAGAATTAGGACAACCTTAGATAATATTATTTACTTTAGTATGATATTGGACAAAATAATTTAAGAATAATAATAGAACAAAATATAAGTGCATCAGTTAATGTCTGTATGGATTTTTCTTTTCTTTATGTCTGCTCTGAATTTAATTAACAAGATGGTAAAGCATCTATTATATTAAGTTTATAGAACTAAAAACCTCATAAACTTGTACCAATAGCAATTTCTGGTATACTATCAATTTACTTTATTTGTCTCCTATAATACTAAGAATTACTGAAGCCACCTATATTTTATAATAGTGCACGCACTTTATTATTTTTGCTTTAAGATTTACTTTTCTAATTTATATATTCATAATTAAGTCTTAATTTTCGAGAATTCTTAAAACTAATATTGAGTTTTGCAATGACTCCCTTACTACTTAATTAAAATTTCAAGAAAATTTAGTTCATCTATTTGCTATTTTTCTTAACTAGGCTTTCTAAAGAATTATGATCAATTTAAGTTTAGTCTAGATCTCCCTCCTTAAACATCAATACCTCACAACTATCCTTAAAAATCAACCTTTATTCTTTTCTTATTTATTATTGGAGGTACTTTGGTAAATATGCTATTCTGAAATACTCTATCACATCAAACCGAGCTAGTGGTTCCAAAGACTAATTAATTAGTGCGTCTCAATTCAATGTACTCAAAGTGCTTTATCATGAAAGCCAAACTGATTTCTTTGAAACAGATCCCTATTGCAATAACTCATTTAAATCCATAATTAATTATTTGGCATATCGAGAATTACTTCACATGTTGTTTACTATCATCTACTATTTCTAACAAGAGCAATCAAAATGAGTTGAAATAAAAGCAGGCAAAGGTATTTATTATCGACAATCTTTCTAAACAGATATTACCTGATCCCCTACTAGATACCTTGCTTAACAATCTAAATTATTATTATAGATCATCATCTTCAATAAAAATACATAAAAAATAAGATAATCGAATGAGAGCGCAATTCCAAAAATTTTAGACTTATTATTTGGCTTTGATTCTCTTTATTTAATAAAATGAGTCTATTTCCATCATTAATATTCATAAATTATATTTCTGCTTCAATGGTAAGCATATTATCAAATTCTAAAATATTAATTTTTTTTTATTAAGCATAGACAGATAAATCATATAATTATGATAAAAGCATCCATCATTATTTATAACATTGCCGAAGTCACATTCTAGTACACTACTTTCACATTCAATTAATCGTTTCCTTCAATTTCCAATCCATCAAATTTAGAAATATTAAAAGAAAATGATTATAAAAAATGTCGAATCAAGCGCCTTCAAAAAGAAAATAAATTGAATTTGAGTCAATTTTTTTTCTTTAAATGTTATAAATAATTCAAAATAATGAATTCCTTCCATATGTTAAGACAAAGTAATATTCTAATTCATAAATCATATAAGATAACATTGGAATTTAATAGAAACATATTGATTGCAGTACATGATAAAGTAAGACATCTTGATTTTAAATTGAGAGTGGTTATAGAGATCTTTATTGGAGTATCAGTTTTCAAATAGTTTACTCTCTAAATCAATTCTAAGTAAATTAATTTTAGTATTTAATTATGAATTTATCTCTAATATAGTACCTATTCAACTATAAGCAGTCATAACTTCGAAAGAAAGGAGTTTAATAATGAAGATCAAGATAATTATCAATTTTCATAATTTTTCTATAAATACATTATTGAGGAACCACTAGTAATGGCATAATAGGCACCAAATAATAATTTTCCAACTATACATCACTAAAATATTTTAGTAAGAGCCAAAAATGAAAATTTAAAAACTTTACAGGATTGTAATGCTGCTATAATGTAATGCGGAGATAACTCTAATACAAATCTCTAAACATAGTTATATTCACTGTTGTCATTTCTATCAATTATCCATCATGTAGCAATATGCGAATAAATGACGTATATATAATATAATCCAGATTTAAGATAATTTCATTTCATCATGTAACTAACCTTATGTTTAAGATGCATTCACAAATTGCGAGCATATTTACATTATAATTAGTTAAAATTGTTTACAAACACAATTAATTAAATAAGTTTTAGATATAGAATAATAACATTTTATTTATTGGATATGCAAATTTATAAATTATCATAATTCAACTTCTGTACTTATATACATTAAGTTCCTTGTCTTATATTTAGTTTTAAAATAATATTGAAGAATTTTTAGTATAAATAAGGCAAGTTATATTCCAGGTACTGATTGGTTATGTGTATGTGTATATAGATTAGTTATAACTATAGAGGGATGTTCCATTCTGANGAGCGCAATTCCAAAAATTTTAGACTTATTATTTGGCTTTGATTCTCTTTATTTAATAAAATGAGTCTATTTCCATCATTAATATTCATAAATTATATTTCTGCTTCAATGGTAAGCATATTATCAAATTCTAAAATATTAATTTTTTTTTATTAAGCATAGACAGATAAATCATATAATTATGATAAAAGCATCCATCATTATTTATAACATTGCCGAAGTCACATTCTAGTACACTACTTTCACATTCAATTAATCGTTTCCTTCAATTTCCAATCCATCAAATTTAGAAATATTAAAAGAAAATGATTATAAAAAATGTCGAATCAAGCGCCTTCAAAAAGAAAATAAATTGAATTTGAGTCAATTTTTTTTCTTTAAATGTTATAAATAATTCAAAATAATGAATTCCTTCCATATGTTAAGACAAAGTAATATTCTAATTCATAAATCATATAAGATAACATTGGAATTTAATAGAAACATATTGATTGCAGTACATGATAAAGTAAGACATCTTGATTTTAAATTGAGAGTGGTTATAGAGATCTTTATTGGAGTATCAGTTTTCAAATAGTTTACTCTCTAAATCAATTCTAAGTAAATTAATTTTAGTATTTAATTATGAATTTATCTCTAATATAGTACCTATTCAACTATAAGCAGTCATAACTTCGAAAGAAAGGAGTTTAATAATGAAGATCAAGATAATTATCAATTTTCATAATTTTTCTATAAATACATTATTGAGGAACCACTAGTAATGGCATAATAGGCACCAAATAATAATTTTCCAACTATACATCACTAAAATATTTTAGTAAGAGCCAAAAATGAAAATTTAAAAACTTTACAGGATTGTAATGCTGCTATAATGTAATGCGGAGATAACTCTAATACAAATCTCTAAACATAGTTATATTCACTGTTGTCATTTCTATCAATTATCCATCATGTAGCAATATGCGAATAAATGACGTATATATAATATAATCCAGATTTAAGATAATTTCATTTCATCATGTAACTAACCTTATGTTTAAGATGCATTCACAAATTGCGAGCATATTTACATTATAATTAGTTAAAATTGTTTACAAACACAATTAATTAAATAAGTTTTAGATATAGAATAATAACATTTTATTTATTGGATATGCAAATTTATAAATTATCATAATTCAACTTCTGTACTTATATACATTAAGTTCCTTGTCTTATATTTAGTTTTAAAATAATATTGAAGAATTTTTAGTATAAATAAGGCAAGTTATATTCCAGGTACTGATTGGTTATGTGTATGTGTATATAGATTAGTTATAACTATAGAGGGATGTTCCATTCTGATATTAGTAATTTACACTCATAGCATAATTGGAAATTGTCATATTGAATGAACCTTGCACCAAATAGGTTCAAACAAATTTTCACCTAAATTATTATTCAAATAATACACTCCCACTATGAATTACCTTTAATTATACAAACCCTGTATTGGAAATTGTTGCATTAAGACTCCACTAGTAAAAAGAATTACTCGTATTACTTATATTTAAGTAATTTGGAATAGTTCTAAGGATTCTGGCTTCTTCAGTATTTTGATTTTTTAATTAAAATTTCTTTATTCTTACGTTAATAAGGTAGCTAATCTTACTACGCTTACAAGAATTATGCATTGTAATAATATACTTAAATGATTAAAATTTACATTTGACTAATCTGGCATACAAATTGATTATTGATTGCAATAATAAATTTATTCAACAACATTATCTTGTAATTTGATGCTTTTATCTTAAATAGACATAATTGTATAATTTAGGCTGTTGGACCAAACATAGAAAATATCATTATTTATTATGTAAAATTGTCTTCGAGCTAGTTTGGTTGTCTTTATTAAAGAGAGAAATCATTACACCCATTAGATGTATTTTAAAAGGTGTTATTGGTTAGTTAAACCAATACAATTATTATATTGTCTTTTTTAAGGATCCTTAAATGAATAATTAATTTAGAATATTTCCTGTTTTCGTAATACTAACCTGAGTTTAAGGAAGTTATGTAGTATTCAGATCAAGTATCTCTCCTTCAGTAATACTTAAATTTGGAGTCTAATATGCTTGATTGTTCCTTAATATTTACTCTTATTCATTAACTAGAAAAGGATTTCTCATTCATTGCTGTAGTTACTGTATAAGTTATAAATAAATTATGGGTAGCTAATTGAATTACTAAAGTCAATATTGTAATCTTAAGAAGTTAAACTAAAGCTTTAAGCCACAAGCAGAAAATATACATTTCTGTTCGAGATTATTATTGATTTTATATAGTACTACTTCAGACCTAAATAAAATTATTCACTTCATTAAATTGGAGAAGTCAATTATAATATATAATATAAACTCATGTGATATGGATATTAAGGATTGTAAACATAAACAGTATAATTGCTAAAAGTAACACAAAAGAACAAGTTATCAGATTAAATTATTAAGGTATTATCGAATTATACACTATGAAGATTCATTAAATAATAGAAATTTGGTAAATTCTACACATTCCACACTTAGAAGCAAATATTCTGTTCATTATTATTGCAGATATATGATAATATTAAGTGCAATTTTCTTAATGTATACATTTACAAATAAATTAAAAAGTATAGATATTATCTTGAATTTCTTAATTAGTTAAATTTACTTATATGATTGGACGTGAAATTTTATATACTATGATCTCTGAATTAAATGAAAATAATTCATTATTTGTAATATCAAAATCTACAAATTAGTTATTTAAGCTGTTTGAAATTAAAAATTTATTATGCATCGATTAATTGAATCAAAAAGAACAACTTGTTCTATTAGCAATCTACTAAAATAGCAAAATCCTTTGACAAATTGATGTTAAATGAAGCGCCGATTGTCATAGATTCCCCACCTGACTCAAATTATGAATTCTTCCATTTTTTAAACCTACCTCGTTTTAATTGGCCAAAGTACAAAAATGTGTATTATTTGAAAACATTGATATAAATTCTATCAGAATATTCTTAATATTTTACAATTCCATTTTTCTCTATATATTTCTTCGCATTAATTCATTAATTTTACATTTTGAATTTAAGGGCGTAGTTTACGGGTAAATTATGGTTCTTTAAGGTAGCTCAAATAAAATTCATATTTTTCTCCTATAGTTGGGTATATGGAAATTTCTTATTCTTTTGTGAAGTGTATATCCGGATCAATGGCAATAACATTGATTATGAATAAGATTATAAACATTTAATATATATTTTTAATGAATAGTACTATTGTTAATAATTGCTTAGATATATATTAAATTTCTAAATAATTATAGATACTCTTATTAAATTCATCTTTATTCTGAATAACAAAAGTATTTTGAATCAAAAAAACCTGCTATTCATCAAAGCTCAGTGGCCTTAGTATTCTATTAGACTACTTTTGTATTTTTTGATTTATAATGGGTATAATGCAATGTCAAAATTAAAATAATTATTATTATTAGCAATTTTATGATTAAATAATTTTGATTTAATCGAAAACAGTTTAAAAGATTTTTGATTTAGCGAATATTATGTTCTTTCATAATTTCCAGAAATAAAACCATTTGTAACATTTACAATGAAAATGAAATCAATATATTTTAGTTTACTAATTTTAATCAATAATACATAGAGACTCTCTCTTTAATTTCCCTTATGAGTCTCTGTGAAATTGATTTAATGCTGATAACTAATATTTTAAATCCCAATCAAACCAAGTGAAACTTTTCTATTTTTAATTTAACTAACTAGCTGTCAAACTCAATATTATGGGCTTCAGTCGAAATTTATATATTTATGTAATTTTTTGAATTAAATGGTAATCCTCTTCATATTCTTTCAATATTCATGAAAAATTGTGAATCGGATGTTTTCTTAAAATTGGTTAAACTCCAATATCATTACAATTCAGTGAAAATACATAATCTATGAATCTCCAACTCAAGAGTAAAATTTCAATTTAATGGGAATAAAGATTAATCTTATGCTTCGCTCCATAAATTATTTAATAATAATATTTTGAAAATTAGAGAAAATGATATCTCAAATTTTTTAGTTCAACTTTAAGCATGTTTTGTAATACAAATTGAATATTATTTTAGATTCTCTAAATGCTTATATTGACGAGACAGAATCCTAATGCATTGTCTTTGATATGAAGTATATGTTAGATTTTGGTTTCTTCAAAAAAAGTCAGATATTATTCAACTTCTTTAGGATAATTATCACAGATATATTTAGATACAGTCAATTGACTTTTCAAGTCCCTTATATGATATTCAGAAAGGGAGGTGTGATTTCCTTTTAGATATATTTAAGGATATAAAAAACTAAATTTATCTGTGATAAAGTTATTCAAATAATAATTATTAAATTGATATAATTGTAGTGATGTAATGGAAACTCTTTTAAATTTTAGCTATGATTCTTTTCTTTAATATGCCAATAATTGCCAATTAATATTGTTTGAGAAGATAAGTTAAAATAAAATCAATTATAAGGGGTAATTATAAAAATGTACTCCATATTCAAAATGGAGCTTTAATTTCATCCAAATCATCAAATAAATTTTATGGAGGAAATAATGGAATCTGTCTTAAGGATGCTGCTTATATAACCAGTATATACTAATGGTGTTAATAAGGATATTCAATCGTATTAGTGTTTTTATAAAAGTATGAATTGAACACTTTAAAAATTTGGTTTTGGGATGGAGATAATCGAATATACAGAATTAAAATTTATACATAATTAGAAAGCTAAGAAACCCAGATTTATGATGGATTTACAAAAAGCGTATTTACAATATCATTTCCTGATCAGGTAGTATCTGGAGTTAGGATACTAAATGTAGCTGGCAATACTTATAATACTCACTTACATCTAATAAAGATTGAGGCTTCATATAAATTATGAGTGAGTAAATGAAATGAATTATAATTTTATTTGTAATAATTTTGAACATTTATTAATATTAACTCGAAATTCTTGTGCTTTAATTTATATTTTGAGCTGGCAATAAATCAATCTAATGATCAATTAGGGGAGATTTCATAACTTATATAAGATTTCTTAACCATTTGTACTTGTATCTAAATTTTACGTATATATAATTTGAATACAATTAAGGAAAATAATAAATCATTTTAGGGGTACTTTGGTCAATTTTAATCTTCAACTATTTTACTTCAAGCGTTAATTAATTAGGAATTAACAGTAAGCATTATTGAATAATGATTTATTGTAATAGTTGATTTGGGATTGTATTAAAGTGAAATATTATACTTTTTTTGAAACATTGAATAATACATCATTTATTGGGTTAATTGATTCAGTTCGTCACTTATAGTAATTGCCTTAATATTTAAAGGCAAAACCTGGAAGTTAATTATTATTAATTATATTTTATTAATTTAATATATATGTGAAAATTATTCAATTATTTCTTTGAAATATTCAGCATATATATAATAATATTAATCATGTAATACTTGTATGTAATCATAATATCATTCTACTTTTAATAAATGGTGAAAACTAATCTCAATAAAGGCACAACAATTAAGGTTAAATTATCTGTATGCTGAAATGAATTTATTATGATTCAGAAATAAAATTTCTAAAACTAAAGTGAATGATTTTTTATGACGAATAAATAAATTTAAGCTCGTTTTATCAAGTCAAATCTAGGATAATTATTTCATTTATTAATTTTTCGACAAATAACAAAGTGAATATATAAATAATATCTTAAGAACGTTGTTTTAATTTATGTAGATCATTATAAAATGATATGTAAAATTCAAACCTAAATTTTCACTTTAATATTTCTAATAAATATAAATTAATATTTAATAAATAAAACAAATAACTCATTGTAATTATTCGTCCTTAAATTCTCCTAATTATCTACCATTTTAATATTCTCCAATCAGAAGCTCTGTACTCCACCTTAAACATAGGTATAAAATACGAATCAAAATATTTGTTTAATTCAACCCATTTTCCAATTTTTAATCCATTCTCATCTCCACCTCTACAATATAATTTTTAACTACATGATCTTGTTTTCATCGGTATACATCTTATGATAAAGTGTATCCCATCTACCTGCTTTTAAGCCATTTGTATATTATCCTACATAAGTGACTTTACAATCACTATGATATAATAAGCAATATACTCTCTTAAACACTTATGTAATTTGACCCACTTTCCAATCTTAACTCCATTTTCATCATAATTTCCATAACCTCTAGCATATGCGTTTGAAATTATTACATTTCTGTAAATTCTTGTTCTTATAATACTTTATATTTGATGCTCCAGCTTCCAGATTTTCTTGAATTGTTGTACTCCCCAATAAAAATAATTTGACATTCTCTAAATCCTAGAACTCTAATAATTACCTTCTAAAATTTTCATGTCGGTCTATCCATTTTCTCACGTTACCATTTTTGTGATCATCATAATCCTCTCCTCCTCTTATGAACTAAATAGAAATATTACATAATGCAAAATCCTTTGAAGAATCAGTTCTAAACAAGTATTCCACCTTCCCTGTTTAAGTCCATGTTTATAATCCCCTTAATAAACCAGTTAACAATCACTTAAAATATTTTTATAGATCTTTACTCTAAAATTCCTATCATCATTCTACTTTCCAGTCTTCATTCCATACCCATCATAATTCCTTTACCTCTAATAAAATTTATTTTAGAAACTTACATGCTTTGATAATCTTTATTGTTCCTTTATTTAAATTAAGTGTCCCATTTTCCAAATTTCTTTCCATTAAGATATTATCCTAAATAAAATAATTTAAGAAGATTAATATTTTGATTGTATGAAATTTTGATGTAATTCCATTCCAATACCAATTGTTAAGTCATTATCAGATAACTAAACTTCATACAATATCATAAAGTTTTCTTTATCATACTACTTATGCTCCTGATTCCACTATCCATGTTTCTTACCATCGACATTAACCCTACAAGAGTGATGAAGCAACCTCTAAAATATATTGATAATCACAACTTCCTAAATTATTCACATAATTCAGCCCACTTTCCTTATTTTACACCATTTTCATATTGTCCGCCTCCTCTATCAATAGCTTTTATTCAATACATTTAGGTATATTCTTATGAAAAGAATAATAATGGTATTCACAATTTCCTTATTTAATACCTTAATTATAATCACCTATGAGTATTATCTAAGCTTAACTTAACAATTAAATATAGATTCTACTTTGAAAAATTTTCATAGACTTCATCTAACCAACTTCGTCATAAGAATCGGCTTCAAAAGTTTCAAATTCTGTATCCCCTTTTATTTGAATAATCCATTTCCCACGTTTTTTGTCATTAGTATAAATTCCAATATATGTAAACTTAACAATAACTATTTTTATTACATATACTCTGAGAAATTCTAATGCAACTCAATCCATTGTCCATTTTTTTTCCATCTTCCTCATAATACCCAACTCCACTTTAGATTTTAATCAAAATATATTCATAGATTTTGAATAATGAAATGTTTTCCAATTTCCAAATTTTTTGCCATTTTTATAATCCCCAACAAATTTTACTTTGCAGTCGCTGAATATAGGAAATATTTACTCTCTAAAATGCGGATTGATGTTATTCAGTCCATTAGCTAACTTTTTATCCTTTTTTGTCATAAACTCCTTATCCTCTAATATAATAACGTTTTTTACATTTATTTGAATTCTTCATCAAAATATTCATTGTGTTGTATTTCCCATTCTCCAATTTTTGTTCCATTTAAGTATTCACCTTAAATAATTACTAATGATTTACTGAATATTATATTCAATTTTGTTACTCCCAATAATTAATGAATAATTCTATCCATTACCCCACTTTTAATCCATTTTAATCATAACCCCCTCCAACCATCAATCATTAATCGTTCCAAAATGCTACCCACTTTCCAATTTTTTTATTGTTTTCTCCATATATTCCTTCCCATCTCAAACTTATTATTTATTCTAAATTTTTGAGTATTTCAAAATATTTAGGCTTCTCTTTTAATTATTCCCTACATGCATACTTTTCAAATTACATTCTTAATATTTCTCCATCCTTAATGTATTTCAGCATTCTCTTCTCGCATTCTATAAAAAATTAAACTTTCTTGATTAATCTTCCTTAATAAGAATATCCTTCTTATTCTATTTGACCATTTTAGAATATATGATAATCTTCATTTTAAGATTAAATCATTTTTAATTCTAGTTAATTATAATGATACACAAATAAAGTAATACCCTGATAATAAAATAATTTCAATGTGGAAATCTAAGTCTCCGAAGAAATTTTTGATGTTCTATCAGAGATAAATATTAAATTATTAAATTATTAAATGTAAACATTAATGATATTTATATTTCATTCTTCTTTATATTTCCTTATTTATGGTTTATTAATAGATCCATTGATTTTATTTAACCAGAAATATAATGGTTGGATCTTTGCTAATGGAAATAAAGAGATCTTAATTATTATCCAAATTACTCATCAAATTGCATTATAATACGCTTAAATTAGGTAATAATTCCATTAATTTTCGTTGTTGCTTGACCAAATTAAAATAGATTTATCAAAAGAATCTCCAGATATAAACTAATGCGATTTTTTCATCAACATAAAAGTAAATACGCTATTTTATGCTGATGTATGATTGAAATTTATTTCAAGATTGCTAAGTATTACAACTAAGTATTACCTTTGAGCAATCCAAATTAAAGCAATTGCTAAATAGATAGATCTTGGCTAGTCGATTTTTCTTTTATAAACTAATAAGTAAATGGCTTTTTGAAGATCAAAATTTCATCGATTATTCTTATTCTGTAATATTAATGACTCTTATTTTAAACCTATAAAACTTGTAATTGAACATGATCTTTAATTTTTGAAATGATTTATGGTTTCACTAGATGAAAAAGGTCTGAATAATACTCGGATAAATCAATTAAACTGATTTCAGTAATATTTTGATCTGATAATCCTAATTATGGAGAGCTTACATTATAAATTGAAGAATCCATATTGAATAGTGAATCAATCTAATAATTGATATTATTAAAAGCTGACTAAAAGCATAAAAATAATCAAATAATACATCCAATTGTATCTCAATTTCTTTGAAGTAAAATTCTAACCAACTTTGTAATACTTTCATTGACATTTTTTTTAATTTTTATTAAATAATTAATTTTTATGGAATTAAGAAATACCTTCTTTGAGAATAGTTTTGTTTAATCTAAATTTAGGATTGGAGTAAGACTTTTCAATTAGCTTTACAAATATTTCTTGATCAATCTTAATACATATAGTGAGAATTTTATGAAGGGAATTTAAATGTAAGAAAAGAACAATTCATAAATTTTAATTAATTCTAATTCAGAAATAAAGTTAGTTTTTCGTTATTCTTTTATTTTCTCCCTTTTTTAAAAAGTAATATAAAAAATAGCTTATTTTGAGACCTTTAGAACAGAAATTTCGTAGAAAACACAATATTAGATTCGTAATAAATTTGATTCGAATGATGTGCCATCAAATANATAATGATACACAAATAAAGTAATACCCTGATAATAAAATAATTTCAATGTGGAAATCTAAGTCTCCGAAGAAATTTTTGATGTTCTATCAGAGATAAATATTAAATTATTAAATTATTAAATGTAAACATTAATGATATTTATATTTCATTCTTCTTTATATTTCCTTATTTATGGTTTATTAATAGATCCATTGATTTTATTTAACCAGAAATATAATGGTTGGATCTTTGCTAATGGAAATAAAGAGATCTTAATTATTATCCAAATTACTCATCAAATTGCATTATAATACGCTTAAATTAGGTAATAATTCCATTAATTTTCGTTGTTGCTTGACCAAATTAAAATAGATTTATCAAAAGAATCTCCAGATATAAACTAATGCGATTTTTTCATCAACATAAAAGTAAATACGCTATTTTATGCTGATGTATGATTGAAATTTATTTCAAGATTGCTAAGTATTACAACTAAGTATTACCTTTGAGCAATCCAAATTAAAGCAATTGCTAAATAGATAGATCTTGGCTAGTCGATTTTTCTTTTATAAACTAATAAGTAAATGGCTTTTTGAAGATCAAAATTTCATCGATTATTCTTATTCTGTAATATTAATGACTCTTATTTTAAACCTATAAAACTTGTAATTGAACATGATCTTTAATTTTTGAAATGATTTATGGTTTCACTAGATGAAAAAGGTCTGAATAATACTCGGATAAATCAATTAAACTGATTTCAGTAATATTTTGATCTGATAATCCTAATTATGGAGAGCTTACATTATAAATTGAAGAATCCATATTGAATAGTGAATCAATCTAATAATTGATATTATTAAAAGCTGACTAAAAGCATAAAAATAATCAAATAATACATCCAATTGTATCTCAATTTCTTTGAAGTAAAATTCTAACCAACTTTGTAATACTTTCATTGACATTTTTTTTAATTTTTATTAAATAATTAATTTTTATGGAATTAAGAAATACCTTCTTTGAGAATAGTTTTGTTTAATCTAAATTTAGGATTGGAGTAAGACTTTTCAATTAGCTTTACAAATATTTCTTGATCAATCTTAATACATATAGTGAGAATTTTATGAAGGGAATTTAAATGTAAGAAAAGAACAATTCATAAATTTTAATTAATTCTAATTCAGAAATAAAGTTAGTTTTTCGTTATTCTTTTATTTTCTCCCTTTTTTAAAAAGTAATATAAAAAATAGCTTATTTTGAGACCTTTAGAACAGAAATTTCGTAGAAAACACAATATTAGATTCGTAATAAATTTGATTCGAATGATGTGCCATCAAATACAAATATCAAGAATATTTAAATAAACTTTATGATGAATTGTAAAATGAATTAATAAATGATAATTGGAATATAATTACTTTCAAAATATATTATATAAATCCACTACCTTTAGAGTGCAAATTTTCAATGTAAAAAGTTATGAGCGAAACTGACTCATAATTAAATTCAAATGGTGATTATTTAATAAATTAAAAAATAAATTAGATATGAAATTTTCAAACCCTCTCAATAATTCTTTCAATTTCAAACAATTTCACTTTGCTTTTTCTTTCATCCCAAAGAATAATGGTTGAATCTATAATTTTGGAATTCTTAAAATCAATATCATCCCCTTATCTCCATCTCAAAAAGAATGGTACACCTATTATGATATCGAAAAATTCAAAAACTATTTTTTACTGCTCATTTAAAGGGTTTGCATCAGAAACCAAATAAATTGAGTGTTTCCCTTCAATTATATTTTTCTTTTCAATATTGAAAATTTTTCGAATTTATCGACCATTTCTAGTTTATTAAAGTTAAATATCGTTATAATTTGAGATTATAAAGTAATGTTATCTTATAAATTTCATAAGATTGAATTCATTTTTTCTTTGCCATCTAATTTTTAAATTTGTAATATCAATCATATATTAGGTTTAACTTGCAATTACAATCATAACTAGTTGAAATATATTCATTATACTATAAATAAACTTATTAAATATCATTTTGCTAATATTAAACTAAGCCTTTAATTTAGCATCAATTGAATATCTTGATATACTGTTATCTCCATTCATAATATAAATATCATTATTTAAATCAAGAGAAAAACTTCTAATTGGTTTCGCTTTTATTATTCTGTTTGTGTTATTAGAAAAATTAATAATTTTTAGCTCATCCAAACTTAATAAATATATGTAAAAGTTTGAATCTATAGTAAATCTGTTATGTTCTTAAAAAAAAGTCCCGTTTTCTAACCCTCCATCATATAATAATTTTGCAGTGAATATTTCAAAAATTCTTAATTGAGATTTTGAAAATTGTTTTCTATATGCTTCATATAATGCAAATTTTTTGTTGTCATTAGAATAACTTACTCCAAAATAATACTTGAAATGTCCATCTATCAGAAGCAAGTTGGCATGTTTATCTTCTAAATCATATTATGCTTTTTAATTAATATTTAGGACCTTAATTTATCGTGATAGCATCTATGATTAAAAATAACAATTTATCAAAATAATTTATGTATATAAATAATGAGAAACATCACATCGATAAAAAGGTTCTATATTTTAGATAATCAAACTATAATGTAAACTTAGAATACGAATAGTTTATAATTCAACTATTTATAATAACTTCTGAAATTCAAGAACATTAACTTATTACATTGAGTATCAAAAATTCTTGGTGCACAATATATATAATCTATAAAATAGACATGAAATTTTTAGATTACTACCTTTGTGATTGTGATATTCAATAATGGAAGTAGAAGTTATTTTCGATGAAATGTAAAAGGTATATGAAATCAGTGCAAACTTAATTCACGTCTGATTATATCTCAATCCCTTGTTATCATGTCACATTTTGAGTGTTAATTTGTAGAATCTAAGATAATGATTTTTTATAGTTAAAATTACTTTAGGTTGATTGCCAAATCAGAATAACTTAATCCATCCATTGCTTTAAGATTATGGACTTCAGTCAAATCTTAAAGGATGCAAGTCGAAATGTATTTTCATCATTCTATATGATTGGAATATATTAATTATAGATTATTATTATTGTTATTTTTAAATTTAAAAGTAAAGTCAATACCAGAACTATTATTGTTACCTAATCACATTCTGCTGATTTTTGAATCAAATGAATAAAAATCAACATAATTCTCAAATATAATAATAATAAACATTGAAAAACCAAAAATCGACTTCAATTATGTATCGATTTATTAACACCCCAGAAGAAACCAAAACACAATATGAGAATAAATAAGAAATTCACCTGAAATTTGATTGTCCAAAAAAGTGAAATATAATTGTTGGTATTAGTTAGTTATATTTATGTTCCCAAATTCATACATATTCTAAAAACAAATGTAACGAAACAATTTTTAAAATGTTTAAAGGATCACTTAAATTAAGTAATCCTTAAGAAAATACAAAATAGGTAACAATTCAAGTTAATAACAAAATAGCCTAATCAATGTTTCTTGAATTAATAATAATTTGATCTCATTTTATATAAAATTTGCAATTTATTTTTACTGTAAGATAATGGCTTCTTTGCAATCCTTTTTCCTCCCATCATGATATACACCAAATTCTACCTACCATAAATAATACTTAATTATCATTAGAGTTATATTTTATTTAGTCTCAATTATAAGATGTTGTCATAATGATGTTTTGAATACTTCTAAATCAAAAATTAATTCTTAGAACAATAAATTGATTTATTTTCATAATGGAGAGATTCTAAGAATGTAAGGAAATGTGAATTCTTATTCGAGAAAAATGGATGAATTAACAGAAAATCCATAGATTTACACCAATTTAGAGATGATAAAATCTTCAATCTGGATTGGTCTATATGGAGAGAACTTTAAGAAGGTTGGGAAGTGGTTTGCTACTTGGAAAGGTAAAATCTAGTTAGGATAGGAGGGGACTATTCATTTGATGGAAAAAAATAAGGTTTATGGAAAGAATTTATAATCAATTATTGGGAGTAATCAATAAATTATACTTTCATAAGTGAGGCAGAAGTTTATGAGGGAGGAGCATATCTGAATGATTCTAAATAAGGAATTTGGAAATTTAGTGATTCTTCTAAAGTGATGTATTCAATTATAGCTACAATTTAGTGCACAGGGATACCATAATTAAAATGGAAAGAAAAATAGTAAATGGATAGATTTGTACGATAATTGGTAAAAGTAAGTAATCATAATTGTAACGTGTAGGTCAAATAGGGAAGTAACTTATATTGGTGAGTGCAGAAATGGTAAAAGATATGGCTTATGGCAGATATCTATTAGTGGAAATTAAAATATTTATGATTTTCATATAAATTGAAAACTTACATAGAGGAAGTGGAATATATGATGAGAATGGTATGAAAAATGGTAAATGGGTAGATACTGATCAAAAATGGTTCAAGTTAATTTGAAATGTTATCCTATATAGAACTTTTCATGAACTTACTATCACTTTGAATATCAAAATGGTACTAAAATTGGTATTGGGAAATAAAAATGAATGAGAATGTTATCCAGTATATTTAATACGTATGAAAACTTTAGAGGGGAGGCTTGTTTATAAAAATGGACTTAAAGTTGGCACTTGGATAGAACCAGTTGATACTTGGTTAAAGTTATATATCATTATCATTATTCTCTTAGATTAAAAAGAGAAATCTAATTAAAAGGCGAATATACAAATCAATTCAAATATGGTTAGTGGGAAATAATAGAGGGAAATGAAAGAAAATTATGTATCAATTTTATCTGATTTAAAGAGGAGGAGAATCATTTGATTCAAAAGGATTTATGGTAGGAAATTGGGTTGAGATAGATAATAATTGGTGCAGGTATAAAATGAAATATTTTTGTAGAAATTTTAAAGAGATAAAATATATGGTGAATATCATTCTGGGAAAAAGGTTGGGAAATGGAATATTATTTTGGAAGAAAATAGATTGATGTAATTTTTCATAAATAGCTTTTAAGAGGAGGAGGGTAATATGATGATTAAGGAAACCAAAATGATAATTGGATTTGCATTGATGATGATTGGATGAAGTCGATATTTTGCTATATATTTAAATTAGATATGAAAGAGAAATCACATGTAATGGTAACTTCAAAAATGGAATTAAAATTGGGAAATGGAACATAATTTTGGAAGAAACTTTAATAATGTAGTATATTCACATTAATAAAGCAGTGGAGGATCATTTGATGAAAGCGGATTCAAGCATGGAGATTGGGTTTGTGTTCACAATGATTGGAATAAGTGAATTAATTAAATTAATAAAATAGGTTGTCTAGGGAGGTCAATTTAAAGGGGTAGTTTGTAAAAGGTTAAAAAATTGCCATATGGAATATTATTGAAGGGAATACAGTTTTGTATAATTTACAATATATCTTAATTTAGAGGAGGAGGAGAATTTGATGAAAATGGAAGGAAAAATGGTAAATGGGTTGAACTATGCGATGATTGGAGAAAGTATTATTAAAATTGAGGCTTTAACATTTGAATTGGTAAAATAGGAACGTAAAATTTACTGGCTAGTATAAAAATGGAATAAAAATTGGAAAGTGTAACATTTTTGTTAATGAAGAAGCAAATGATAGACTTCTGTATAAATATTACATAACTTAAAGTGGTGGAGGTGAATTCGATGATTATGGCATGAAAGAAAAAATATGGGTGGAGCTATGCAAGGATTGGATGGAGTAATTATAATCAACAATAAATAGCATAAAATAAATTAATGGAGAGTATAAAAAAAGTAAAAAATTTGGTAAATGTGATATTATTGAGAATGGTAATTTATTTATGTAAATTCTCTTATTTATGATAAATTTTATAGTGGTAGTGGATCTTATAAATTAAAATGGTATGAAGGATGGCAAATGGATTGAATTGTGCAACGATTGGTGTAGTAGCAGTGGATTTTTTTTAAAAATAGTCACTTATAATGGTGAATATTAAAATGGTAAAAAAGTTGGAAGATGATCGAACATTAAGGACAAAAATATAATCACGTACAAATTACTTATTATTCATTTTTCAGAAGTAACGAATTATACGATAATTATGGTACGATAATTGAGGCATAGGAAAATATCTGATAAGTTAAAATATACATATATTAAAAATGGTATCAAAAATTTTTAAAAGGTTTTTTGATGGAAGTAGGAAGTTATAACGAAGAATGAGAATTATTTAAGTTAGATGGTATGTAAATCAAAATTTACTACATTACTTCTAGAAGTATTCCATGAAAATAAGAATTCAAATATTATCATAGAAAATAGGATTATAATTTAAATAACTCTCCAATAAGNTTCATAAATAGCTTTTAAGAGGAGGAGGGTAATATGATGATTAAGGAAACCAAAATGATAATTGGATTTGCATTGATGATGATTGGATGAAGTCGATATTTTGCTATATATTTAAATTAGATATGAAAGAGAAATCACATGTAATGGTAACTTCAAAAATGGAATTAAAATTGGGAAATGGAACATAATTTTGGAAGAAACTTTAATAATGTAGTATATTCACATTAATAAAGCAGTGGAGGATCATTTGATGAAAGCGGATTCAAGCATGGAGATTGGGTTTGTGTTCACAATGATTGGAATAAGTGAATTAATTAAATTAATAAAATAGGTTGTCTAGGGAGGTCAATTTAAAGGGGTAGTTTGTAAAAGGTTAAAAAATTGCCATATGGAATATTATTGAAGGGAATACAGTTTTGTATAATTTACAATATATCTTAATTTAGAGGAGGAGGAGAATTTGATGAAAATGGAAGGAAAAATGGTAAATGGGTTGAACTATGCGATGATTGGAGAAAGTATTATTAAAATTGAGGCTTTAACATTTGAATTGGTAAAATAGGAACGTAAAATTTACTGGCTAGTATAAAAATGGAATAAAAATTGGAAAGTGTAACATTTTTGTTAATGAAGAAGCAAATGATAGACTTCTGTATAAATATTACATAACTTAAAGTGGTGGAGGTGAATTCGATGATTATGGCATGAAAGAAAAAATATGGGTGGAGCTATGCAAGGATTGGATGGAGTAATTATAATCAACAATAAATAGCATAAAATAAATTAATGGAGAGTATAAAAAAAGTAAAAAATTTGGTAAATGTGATATTATTGAGAATGGTAATTTATTTATGTAAATTCTCTTATTTATGATAAATTTTATAGTGGTAGTGGATCTTATAAATTAAAATGGTATGAAGGATGGCAAATGGATTGAATTGTGCAACGATTGGTGTAGTAGCAGTGGATTTTTTTTAAAAATAGTCACTTATAATGGTGAATATTAAAATGGTAAAAAAGTTGGAAGATGATCGAACATTAAGGACAAAAATATAATCACGTACAAATTACTTATTATTCATTTTTCAGAAGTAACGAATTATACGATAATTATGGTACGATAATTGAGGCATAGGAAAATATCTGATAAGTTAAAATATACATATATTAAAAATGGTATCAAAAATTTTTAAAAGGTTTTTTGATGGAAGTAGGAAGTTATAACGAAGAATGAGAATTATTTAAGTTAGATGGTATGTAAATCAAAATTTACTACATTACTTCTAGAAGTATTCCATGAAAATAAGAATTCAAATATTATCATAGAAAATAGGATTATAATTTAAATAACTCTCCAATAAGTATACATATTATATCATTTCATAAAATCATTATGTATCAACTTAATTGAATGAAGATATGATAAATTCATACGATAAACTGAAAGCCAAAATCTCTAAAATGTTAATTTCTCTTGAGTGAAAATTTATAATAAAATTCATCGAATTTATTAGTATCAACGTTGTGCATTGTCGATTTAAAAAATACCAACCAAAATATCAATCTAAATTCTTAAAACTTTAGTTTACTTTAGAGAAGTAAAGAATTTGATACAATATTTTTCTTAACATAAACTATTAATTAATTAATGTTTCTAGAAGAACGAATAGAAATTTATTATTTCTAATTAATTAATTATTAAAAATCGTAATTCTATCATGATAAAATAGTGTGAGTATCATAGAGGATTTGATATTAAATTTGTCTGCATACACAAATCAAAGCTACAAAAGGAGAATAACAAGTTTTCTTGTCAAAAATGTTTAAACTGGTAAAAGTCAAACGAGTTTATTAAAAGTATGGAAGAACTTGACGATGGAGCTAAAGAAAATTTAGGCAAATTCTTAGAAATGTAAAGTAAAATACTCAATTTAAATATTTCAATGAAATAAAGATTCATATAATCATTAACAGAACTCTAAAATAAAGTATTGCAATATTTTTAAAAATAAGAAAAGGCAATTACAACATTAATTGACTATTAAAACCATCAATTATCTCTAAATATTAGCTAAGCAAATTCGCTTTTAACCAAATAATCTGTCCTGGATTCTCAATCCATTGATAATTTTATTATATTCATAACATTAGATGAAGCAAAATAATAAATTATAGAGAATTAATTTACTTAAATCAATAATTATTTAGAAAGACAGTTCAAATATGAATTTAATGAGATTTAATGTAAAGTAAACTAATTAACGACAATAGACATTAAATTTGATAATGTACCTAAATATGAAGCGGAATAATTCAAAATATAAACAATTGAAAAAATAAATGATGAATTTCCTTTTTGTAAAGCTCACTAAATGGAAAAAAACTGTATTTGTATACACCAGGATTGTTTAAAAGAACAAAATCTATAATATATTTGTATCTAATGTGCTGAGAGTAATCATTAAGAACACCATAAAGGCAGTTTCGTAAAAACCATAAAAAAATTAAAGTAAGAATAAGTTGAAAAACTTAAATTAATTGAAGAATAGATTTAATTGTTTAAAGTGGAAGTTGAAAACAGAATTGATAAAGTGCTAAAAGCAAATTAAGAAAAAAATTAAGAAAAATTTCTTAAGTCTTAAATAAAGAGAGAAAATCTTAAATTATTAGAAGCTCTTACTGTAATAAACCATTTCAAGTAAAATTCCAAATATATCTATCATAAAATTGACTAGAATTTATTATAATATGATTCATAAAGGATCAAATAAGAATATTAGTTTTAACTGAATGAATTCGAATTAATGCAATAAAATACAACAATTTAGAAAAAGATGTTTCTTGAATTATACCAAACCACTGAAAAGGAAACACAAAATTATAAGTAAGAAACGTTTAAATTAAAGAATTAAGTTTAATAATATGAAATTTAAATAATTGAGTTATAAGAGAAATTAAAAGCATAGTCAAATGAATAACTTTTTGCAAATCTCAATCAGATCATTCTTGAGGGATAGAATAAAATATAAGAATAAATCAAAGCTATTCCATAAATTGTTGATGAAAGTATATAACCTAGATTATTATAATAATACATGACAATTAATAAAATCCAATAATAGACTTAAGCCGTTCCTGACTTTATGGTTTCTCTATAAGAAGACATGAAAAAAACTATAATAAAAATTAATGAAATCCATTAATAGACTGATGCATTAACTTAGATCGTTGTTTCTTTTTAAGAAGATATGAAAAATGATGGAATGAAAATTAATGAAATCAAATAATAGGTTGTTTTCCTCTTATAAGAAATATAAAATAGTAGATTAATGATTAACAAAGTTCATTTATCAACTTAAACTGTCTCAAAAAAAATTATAGAAATCAGCTCTTTGTTACCAGACTTGGAAAAAATGATAAAGACAACTTCGATGATCTCGGAATAAATTTAAGTTTCTAGTACAAGTATTAATGCTTTAAGTACACAATTTACAAATCTGAAAAAGTAAATTCATGAATAGTTTATGCAGCTTTAATAATAAATTCAGTTGATTCCAAATTATTATATCTAAAACCTTAACAATCAATGCAACGCCTTAAACAGTCTTATTTCATAAGTAAATACTGTGTTATAAATCTTGGGATAATAGTAAGACAACAAAAATTAATAAGGCTGTAAATCTCTTTAATCCTCTATGTATGGATTTAGATGATAGTGTCCTTATTATATATTTTATGTATTAATATCCTTTTTTAAATAACGCTGATTTTCTTATTATGCTTCTTTCTTAGAGGATTTTGATTAGCAAATTCATCATTCCTTTTACAAAAAAAGGGAGCTTCTTCATCTAGTTATTTTTGATTTGATGGAACTGCAAAGGATATTAATCACAATTATAATATTCGTATCTTGTAAGATTAACCTAGAAATGAATTGTGATTACTTAGATTTCAAAACTATTAATATAAATAAAAGGCTAATCCATCAATTTTCATCTAATATAAACTAACTAAATGCAATTGTCAATTCTAAGCAGATATTACATTGATAAATTAGCATACTTTGTTTACATTTAGATTTCAAGAATATCATATTCATTAGTCGTTAGTATTGCTGCCAATTTAAAGCTCAATTCAAAAATTTCTATTCTACAAACTAATCACAGAATTATGTAGTAAAAATAGGCGGAATTCTCCCTAAAGTAATGTATCAATAATAAATTCTTGTCTAATTATTATCTTTTATGGTTAATTAATTATACTATAACAAAAATGCAAATCATAAGTAAAAACAACATTGAATTTTAGAATTATAATATTTAAAATAAAAATACTTATTAATGGCTTCAATTGGCATTGATTTTGGCACAACAAATTCATCTGTTGCTGTTTGGGTAAATGATACTATAGAGATCATCTAAAATGAATTAGATAATTGGCAGACACCTTCTTATGTAGCATTTACTGACTAAGGGATTCTTTTAGGTGAGTCAGCTTTAAATTAAATTCATCGAAATCCCCTTAATACTGTTTTTGATATAAAAAGATTGATGGGAAGAAGATTTTCTGAATAGGATGTTCAAATTGCAATGTTAGATTTCCCCTTTAAATTAGAGGCAGGAATAAATGACAAGCTACTTATTGTTGTTCATTATTAAGGAAAAATTTAGAAATTTTTACCTGAAGAAATTTGTTCCATGATATTAGAGAATTTAAAGAAAACAGCTGATGTACATTTAGGCAAGCCAGTTTCTTCAGCTGTAATTTCAGTTCCGGCTTATTTCAATGATCTATAAAGATAAGCCATTAGGGAAGCGGGAACTAGAATTGGTTTGAACATTTTGAGAATCATTAATGAATCGACTGCCTCTGCTATAGCTTATAATTTGGATAGAAGTATTCATTAAGAATAACATGTTCTCGTTTTTGATCTGGGGAGCAAAAAACTTGATCTTAATTTGCTATTTATTGAGGATGGTATCTTTGAGATGAAGGAAAATCTTACTAATAATAAATTGGGTGGAATAGAATTTGATAACAAACTTATTGAATATTGTTGTACCTAATTATTAAATAAGAAGGGTATAGATATAAGAAATAACTTAAAATCATTACAAAGGCTTCGAATACAATGTGAAAAGGCGAAAAAGGTACTTTCTTCCGCTGATCAAGCAACGATAGAGATCGATAATTTTCATAATAATGAGGATTTTATAATTACTATTACTAAACCAAACTTTGAAATGTTGTGCATGAATTTGTTTAAATAATGCATTCAATCTATCGATAGGATTCTAATGAATTAGAATCTCTTGAAGAATCAAATTAATGAAGTAATTCTTGTTGGAGGATCTGCGAAGATTCCAAAAATTTAAGAATTGCTAAAAGACTATTTTAATGGAAAGTAATTGTATTAATCAATAAATCCAGAGGAAGTCGTTGCTCATGGAGCTGCTACTTAAGCTGCCATTTTGACTGGATAACTACATTAATAAATCTAGCTTTGCTGCATCTTTGATGTTACTATACTAAATTTGGGAATAGAGACTTCTGGAGGATTAATGACAACTTTAATAGCGAGAAATACAACTATTCCAACAAAGAAGACACAAATTTTCACTACCAAGAATGATTATCAAACTGAGGTCCAAATTAAAATCTATTTCGGTTATAGATACTTGACTAAAGATTGTCTTTTTTTAGAACAATTTAATTTAACTGGTATTTCTCCAGCTCTCAAAGGAGTTCCTGAAATTTTGATAACATCTGAGATTGATTAGAATGATACACTTACTTTGACTGCCCAAGATCTAACTTCAAAGAATAGTAATAGCATAATTATAGCTAACTTTATTAACGGGCTAACATCAGATTATATTGAGAAACATATTCTGGATGCTGAAAAATTAGAAGAGGAAGACAAAATGATAAAAAGTAGAATTGAAGACAAGAATAATCTCGAATCAACGATATATCTTAATAGAAATATAATTCATAATGAAAAGTTTAACCTTAAATTCTCTAATTGTGAAAAATCATAATATTAATTGATAGTAAATGAAACAATATAATGGATTCATAAAAATCCAAATGTTGATGTTAAAGAGTATTAAATTAAGTTGCAGAAACTTGAAGAAGTTTAGCAATAGCTTAATTAATAGTTCTGTTTAGACGATAATGATTCATAGTAAGCAAAAGCATGGTTTGAAAGGAGTGTTAAATTTTCCCTTGGCAGAGATTAAGATTATTTAAACGAATTATAATGTTGATTGATATTTATAACAATAAAATTTTTTAAATGGTATTTTAGAATTACATAAAAAAATCAAAATTTTTATAATTTCTTAGGTTGCAAGCCTCATTTATTATGATTAATATATGTAGTATGTATTTGATTTATATAAAACATGTGTTTCAAATTAACGAATGTTATTAACTACCAATCAGAAGTAAATTCAGGATACTATTCGTAAATTTAATTAATATATTTTAATTTCGTTTATATATAGTTGATTCTTATCTTTTGTAAATAATAAATTAATAATAATAGGATATTTCATTATTATATCTCATAATCATTTTATGTTTATATATATAATAATATCAAAAGCTACAAAAATAGATATATATATATAAAGCATTTAATCAATCAATTAAACTTTTATTGAGAAACCTAACTTCAATAGATTTTGATAGTACATTCCTTGTTATCAAGTATTAGCCATCATCACTTATTGCCCAAAAGAAAAAAAGAGTTTTAAAATCAATTATCTAAACATTCTTAAAGAATAATTCATTCTTTTTGGTTTCAGACTGATCATTGTTATTTTACATTTCAAATCTAATAATGAATAGCCTCTAACCTTTTTTTAAAGTCAAGATCTTCATTTTTTTATTGTATGATAAATTTCTACTAATTATTTCATTCTTGTAAGATTTAAGTTTAACTGATTGGATTAAAGTGTAAATTCCTTCAAACTGCGATCCATATAGGTCAAGAGTACTTTCGCTATTAGTCTAAATTATAAATTGATAATTTGTTAAAAAGCTCACTCCAACTCCTCCCAGTTAATATGCTTCTATTTTTTACTTGACGAACCAAGCATTTGAATTTGGGCTTTCTCAATAATTAAGATGAGTTATTTTTTATCGCAAGATATAACTTAATTTCCAATTTCATTAATTGATATTCCACAGACTGAACTTTTATGCTCTATTATTTCTTAAATGCATCTCCATTATAAACTTGATTACTCCATTTACCAGAATCTGATTGCTTTTTCATATTCTCCAGAAATTATAAGATCTTCATTAGGTGAATGAATAGCTATACACGTGATCAATTCTGTATGTCCTTTAAGTTTTTATATATATTTTGTTGATGTTCCAAGATTCAGAGTTGTAGGCCAAATGATGATATCGTTGTCACTTGAGCCTGAAATAAATTAATTTTTCAAATTAAAGAAGAGAAGAACACTAATTGAGGATTAATGCTTCTAAATGCTTGATATCCTTTTTAAGGATTTCCCATTAAAACCAAATACTAATATATTTGAAACTAAATTTGTCAAAATTAGAGTGCCACTCTTGTTAACAGCTATGGTTTCGCATGGATATTTCATTTAGAAAGTACATGAATTTTATAATTCATAAAGAGATTTCTTATATTTTTATGAGTCATTCCCCATTTATAATTTAATTGTATTTAATTAATATACATTTTACCATATAATTAATAGCTTATGGAATTGTTATAATATAGAATAAGCGCCTATATCTTCATATTATGAAATAAGAAAATACACTATCCTGTGTATTTCTTCAACGTTATATGAAATAATATCATGGTGTAATTTGCAATAAATAGGATCCTGATGAAAATTTAGATCATATTATTACTAGATAATATCCAATAAAAGCAAATAATAATGGAAAGAAATATGAATTGAATTGGCCAAGATTAATTAAGAAATAAGTTAAATTAATTTTTGAGAATAGAGAATTACTACAATAATAACTAATAGAAATTCATTAGAANAATATCAAAAGCTACAAAAATAGATATATATATATAAAGCATTTAATCAATCAATTAAACTTTTATTGAGAAACCTAACTTCAATAGATTTTGATAGTACATTCCTTGTTATCAAGTATTAGCCATCATCACTTATTGCCCAAAAGAAAAAAAGAGTTTTAAAATCAATTATCTAAACATTCTTAAAGAATAATTCATTCTTTTTGGTTTCAGACTGATCATTGTTATTTTACATTTCAAATCTAATAATGAATAGCCTCTAACCTTTTTTTAAAGTCAAGATCTTCATTTTTTTATTGTATGATAAATTTCTACTAATTATTTCATTCTTGTAAGATTTAAGTTTAACTGATTGGATTAAAGTGTAAATTCCTTCAAACTGCGATCCATATAGGTCAAGAGTACTTTCGCTATTAGTCTAAATTATAAATTGATAATTTGTTAAAAAGCTCACTCCAACTCCTCCCAGTTAATATGCTTCTATTTTTTACTTGACGAACCAAGCATTTGAATTTGGGCTTTCTCAATAATTAAGATGAGTTATTTTTTATCGCAAGATATAACTTAATTTCCAATTTCATTAATTGATATTCCACAGACTGAACTTTTATGCTCTATTATTTCTTAAATGCATCTCCATTATAAACTTGATTACTCCATTTACCAGAATCTGATTGCTTTTTCATATTCTCCAGAAATTATAAGATCTTCATTAGGTGAATGAATAGCTATACACGTGATCAATTCTGTATGTCCTTTAAGTTTTTATATATATTTTGTTGATGTTCCAAGATTCAGAGTTGTAGGCCAAATGATGATATCGTTGTCACTTGAGCCTGAAATAAATTAATTTTTCAAATTAAAGAAGAGAAGAACACTAATTGAGGATTAATGCTTCTAAATGCTTGATATCCTTTTTAAGGATTTCCCATTAAAACCAAATACTAATATATTTGAAACTAAATTTGTCAAAATTAGAGTGCCACTCTTGTTAACAGCTATGGTTTCGCATGGATATTTCATTTAGAAAGTACATGAATTTTATAATTCATAAAGAGATTTCTTATATTTTTATGAGTCATTCCCCATTTATAATTTAATTGTATTTAATTAATATACATTTTACCATATAATTAATAGCTTATGGAATTGTTATAATATAGAATAAGCGCCTATATCTTCATATTATGAAATAAGAAAATACACTATCCTGTGTATTTCTTCAACGTTATATGAAATAATATCATGGTGTAATTTGCAATAAATAGGATCCTGATGAAAATTTAGATCATATTATTACTAGATAATATCCAATAAAAGCAAATAATAATGGAAAGAAATATGAATTGAATTGGCCAAGATTAATTAAGAAATAAGTTAAATTAATTTTTGAGAATAGAGAATTACTACAATAATAACTAATAGAAATTCATTAGAACCAGAATTTTATGAAAGTTTATAATGAATTAATTAAAATAAATGACAATAATAAAAAGAAAATGCAAACTAAAGAAATATTAATAGAATTGGTTGCATATATTAAATCCATTCAAAATCAATAATGAATCATTATTTTATTTATTATATACATATTAGTAAATTATTATTAAATACTCTCTTATAATTTGATAAATACTTTAGTATTAATGCTATATTAAAATTAAGCTATTAAAATATATATTTTAATTCCTAAATTAAAAAACAAATCATTGTTGAGAATTCCTATTTAGAAATTAATGTATTTTTCTGTTCTTGAATTTGAACACATATTACTTATATTCAACTTAAACTAATAGTTTCAACAATATAAATGTTCTTAGCTTACAAAACAATTTATACAATTATAAATGATTAGAATCCACATGTTTATTTTAATTAATACATATACATGTCTATAATATAAGTCATAAATATATATTCATTCAATTTTTTTAATATCCACTATCAATAATTTATTAATTCTAAAAAAATATATTTTTGGATGAAAAGGATGGTGGGATTGATATGTTAATACATGGTTATTTCTGATGAATAAGCAAAATATTCTTTTAATATTATAAAACATTAGATAAATTATCATAGCAGATTTTGATATTTTGGAAACTTTATGTATAATAATTATAAATTACATGGTAATCATCTAAGCAGGTTTAATCTGTAGTATAAGTCTATTTAATTCCTCCTTTAAAATGTGGGTCTTTGAACTAAACTTCAACGCCACTAACTAACATATAAATTGATTTTATTTTGAAAGGTATATATCTAGCAGATATTGTTTGATTTCCTTAGCAAACTTTCCACAAATCTCCCTAATAATTACATTCACTATAAAAATCTATACAGGGACTAACAACCTGTAATTTGATATCTCTAATTCCCCATGATTCTATAATTAGATGGTTTAGCATTACCTTCGCTCTCAGTTTATAAATTATCAACTAATGAAAAGGTAACATAGTTTTATCCTTTTGACAACTAAAAATTATACGATCTGTAATCCAATACGTCTGGGAACCAAAGTTAACACAAATTAGATCCATCAAAAGGAGCATGAGTAATTTTGTCAATTAGTTAGCCATCTTAGTAAATAAAAACAGATTCTTCATCCCAGGAATCAAATTTAGCCAAAGTGAATGAAAGTTTCATCTTTTTATCTGATGGGCACCAAAATCTTTTCTAAATTCGATGTCCTCCTGTATATGATCCCATATAATTTATTCCTTAACATTAAGTTACTTAATTGCCATTAGTCCAACCATTATTACTACATTCACTTCCAGTGGATTCTACGCAACCTTTATAAATCAAAAGAGGTTCTATAAATAAGATTTTTATAAACGAAATCATACTCATCTCAATAATTTATATTCAATATTTTATTTGTTATTAATAGTCAGCTATTAGAAGTAATTTTCTACTTCAGAAATAGATTTTCATTAGCTATCTTTCATTTATGAATAATTGAATAATTTGTATTAAATTCAACATGAATTTTTAAGTTGTTTTATATTTTAGTTTATATAAAGAGGAACACGGTTGCATCTAATTGCCAATTTTAAAGTTATGATAGCCTCTTTTATCTAATTTAGGGCTTATAAAGAGTCTCCTATTAATTAGATAATAAATGATAAACCTTTCCCTACATATGGTAATAACCAAGTTGGATTAAGCTAAAGTGCTTTATTATAGCAAATAATAGCATCTAAATAGTTTTAGGTTTTAAATAATGAACAGCCTTTATAATAATAGAATAAATATCAACCTTTATTGTAATGAGCTAATGCATCATTTGGATCATATTAAATTGCTTTCTCAAAACAGATGAATGCTTGTTCATATTTATTCAATTGTTCTAGTGCTTATCCTTTATTGTTATATGCATCAGCGTCATATGGATCAAGTTCAATTACCTTATCAAAATAATTAATTGCATCTTCATATTGTAATAATCTAAAACATAAGTTTGCTATAGATAATGATATTATATGCCTTACCTTTATTATAATACGCATCAACATAATTTGGATCTGATTAAATTGCATCATTATAACATATCATTGCTTCATTAAATTAAAATTATTAAGCTAGAAATGTTCCTAATAATAATAATATATAATAACCTTAAAAACACATTAAAACACTTTTTTTTATGTTTGTTTTTAAACAGTTATTTTAAACTTGAATAGCTTATTGATATTATGATAACATGATTAATGATGCAACTTAATATATATGAATTATTACTTTTTCCCATAAAAGCATTTTTATTATTGTCATCAATTTATAAGATCCTATCGCTTATACTGATTGCTGAATTATATTGTTTAGTTTCAAATAAGGAATGTCCTAATAATAGAAATTAATATTATGCCTATTAATAATAATTATGCTAAATTATTTTGATTAATTAATTAGTTTGTTTTCATTGTTTTAATTTAATCTTCAAAAAATTTTGGATATTCTTTTTTTAATGTGTTAAACATTTTTTATGATTTAGTACATTAATTCAATTCCAATAATATTACACCTAATTTAAATTAATTAAATACTTAAATAGAATAATGCGATATCATTTTATTATTATTATTTAAAGTATATTAATGCTTTTTCCCAATTTTTTTATTCAATTATAAAATCATATAATATTGTTAATTTATTTATAATTCTTAGGTTTATAATAAGGAATTCAATTAAATATAATTTAATTAATAAACTATTTAATTTTGATTCTTTTGCTTATTCAAAATATGATATTGAATCTTTAAATATTAAATATCTTGATTTATCAGGAGATATTGTTATTAATTTAAATTAGATAATATTCTTTGATAATTTAAGATTTCTAATTGATCCTAAATTTAAAAGTTATATGAAATAATATCATGGTGTAATTTGCAATAAATAGGATCCTGATGAAAATTTAGATCATATTATTACTAGATAATATCCAATAAAAGCAAATAATAATGGAAAGAAATATGAATTGAATTGGCCAAGATTAATTAAGAAATAAGTTAAATTAATTTTTGAGAATAGAGAATTACTACAATAATAACTAATAGAAATTCATTAGAACCAGAATTTTATGAAAGTTTATAATGAATTAATTAAAATAAATGACAATAATAAAAAGAAAATGCAAACTAAAGAAATATTAATAGAATTGGTTGCATATATTAAATCCATTCAAAATCAATAATGAATCATTATTTTATTTATTATATACATATTAGTAAATTATTATTAAATACTCTCTTATAATTTGATAAATACTTTAGTATTAATGCTATATTAAAATTAAGCTATTAAAATATATATTTTAATTCCTAAATTAAAAAACAAATCATTGTTGAGAATTCCTATTTAGAAATTAATGTATTTTTCTGTTCTTGAATTTGAACACATATTACTTATATTCAACTTAAACTAATAGTTTCAACAATATAAATGTTCTTAGCTTACAAAACAATTTATACAATTATAAATGATTAGAATCCACATGTTTATTTTAATTAATACATATACATGTCTATAATATAAGTCATAAATATATATTCATTCAATTTTTTTAATATCCACTATCAATAATTTATTAATTCTAAAAAAATATATTTTTGGATGAAAAGGATGGTGGGATTGATATGTTAATACATGGTTATTTCTGATGAATAAGCAAAATATTCTTTTAATATTATAAAACATTAGATAAATTATCATAGCAGATTTTGATATTTTGGAAACTTTATGTATAATAATTATAAATTACATGGTAATCATCTAAGCAGGTTTAATCTGTAGTATAAGTCTATTTAATTCCTCCTTTAAAATGTGGGTCTTTGAACTAAACTTCAACGCCACTAACTAACATATAAATTGATTTTATTTTGAAAGGTATATATCTAGCAGATATTGTTTGATTTCCTTAGCAAACTTTCCACAAATCTCCCTAATAATTACATTCACTATAAAAATCTATACAGGGACTAACAACCTGTAATTTGATATCTCTAATTCCCCATGATTCTATAATTAGATGGTTTAGCATTACCTTCGCTCTCAGTTTATAAATTATCAACTAATGAAAAGGTAACATAGTTTTATCCTTTTGACAACTAAAAATTATACGATCTGTAATCCAATACGTCTGGGAACCAAAGTTAACACAAATTAGATCCATCAAAAGGAGCATGAGTAATTTTGTCAATTAGTTAGCCATCTTAGTAAATAAAAACAGATTCTTCATCCCAGGAATCAAATTTAGCCAAAGTGAATGAAAGTTTCATCTTTTTATCTGATGGGCACCAAAATCTTTTCTAAATTCGATGTCCTCCTGTATATGATCCCATATAATTTATTCCTTAACATTAAGTTACTTAATTGCCATTAGTCCAACCATTATTACTACATTCACTTCCAGTGGATTCTACGCAACCTTTATAAATCAAAAGAGGTTCTATAAATAAGATTTTTATAAACGAAATCATACTCATCTCAATAATTTATATTCAATATTTTATTTGTTATTAATAGTCAGCTATTAGAAGTAATTTTCTACTTCAGAAATAGATTTTCATTAGCTATCTTTCATTTATGAATAATTGAATAATTTGTATTAAATTCAACATGAATTTTTAAGTTGTTTTATATTTTAGTTTATATAAAGAGGAACACGGTTGCATCTAATTGCCAATTTTAAAGTTATGATAGCCTCTTTTATCTAATTTAGGGCTTATAAAGAGTCTCCTATTAATTAGATAATAAATGATAAACCTTTCCCTACATATGGTAATAACCAAGTTGGATTAAGCTAAAGTGCTTTATTATAGCAAATAATAGCATCTAAATAGTTTTAGGTTTTAAATAATGAACAGCCTTTATAATAATAGAATAAATATCAACCTTTATTGTAATGAGCTAATGCATCATTTGGATCATATTAAATTGCTTTCTCAAAACAGATGAATGCTTGTTCATATTTATTCAATTGTTCTAGTGCTTATCCTTTATTGTTATATGCATCAGCGTCATATGGATCAAGTTCAATTACCTTATCAAAATAATTAATTGCATCTTCATATTGTAATAATCTAAAACATAAGTTTGCTATAGATAATGATATTATATGCCTTACCTTTATTATAATACGCATCAACATAATTTGGATCTGATTAAATTGCATCATTATAACATATCATTGCTTCATTAAATTAAAATTATTAAGCTAGAAATGTTCCTAATAATAATAATATATAATAACCTTAAAAACACATTAAAACACTTTTTTTTATGTTTGTTTTTAAACAGTTATTTTAAACTTGAATAGCTTATTGATATTATGATAACATGATTAATGATGCAACTTAATATATATGAATTATTACTTTTTCCCATAAAAGCATTTTTATTATTGTCATCAATTTATAAGATCCTATCGCTTATACTGATTGCTGAATTATATTNTATTATATTACTTTTATATGTTCAAATAAATATACTAAAATCAAAAATAATATTCTTTATTTATTTTATGAATTTGATTACTAAAATTTATGTTAGTTAATAACTGCAAGAAATTAATAACCCAATTAATATTATTAAATTAAATTACTTTAATTTGTTATTAATCAATGAAATAAAAATTAAATGAATTTATTACTTACCCTAAATTTTTGCAAATAATGAACTATTCCATATATTGTTGCATTATAAGTCAAAACAATACTAATAAAATTTATGCCAGTATCCACTCGATTTGAATGTAATAGGTAATATCATCTATGTCAATAAATCTTATAATGCCCTAATAAATTCCTACATCATTTGAACTCATTGGATTTCATTCATTAATTCGTATTTTTCTTAAATGACATAAATATATGAATAAAAATTATAAATAAAACTAGGAAAATAAAATTGGTTTGAATTAATTGGTCATATAATGAAGAAGTAAAATAGGATTTGAAAAATAATTTAATGAAAAAAATAGAGGCTAAGCAGTGTTGTAAACAAGCAAGGTTTCACAAATTGTTAGATGTTGAAAGTGTAAAGGATCAAATGCTTGTTTCTTATTAATAGGATTTCCAATTATTGAAACATTTTTTCTCAAACTTTGATCCTGACTATGTGGAATACTTAAAGGACATATACTCAACAAGTTTTGATGCAATTTACAATACACAGGAAATATTAAAAATAGTTTAGAGCAGACTTAAACATGGAGAGAAAACACTAAAATAAAGTATCAGAAAGAATTTAATTTAATTGTTATAATTAGAATAGCCAGTTCCAGCATTAGTATTCTTTTTAAAAATCACACCTACATCATTTGAAATTCATTACAAAGAAGATCTTCTATTAATACTTGATACAATGCTTTAGAAATTTAATTTTGATTTAAGATCAGAGATTTACAAAAGCTTATATGATGCTCTAATAGAAACTACTGATGAAGAAATTATATTACTTAGTATAAAGCTATTAAATTCAAAATTTGATTTTACTAATCAATTCAATTAGAAGCAATTTGATATACTAGATTAAATTCATAGTTAGATTAGTTTAATTAATTTGCAAGAATCAAAGGATATAATAATACAATTGGTAAAGCATTTTAAAGAATTTCATGAAAAATTAAAATACAAAAGAGAAAGTCTTGATTAAGTTAAGTCAGAGAAATTTCCTTAATTTGTTTTGAAAGTAGTGCTTATGTTATTAAAAGAACAAGAAATAGTAATCCCAGAGTTACTTACCTTTTTATTCTTTAAAGACACACCTGATAAGAAGAAGTGTATTGCTATTAAGTCATAAGTTAAAGAAATTTAAAAAATGTTTGAAATACCAAGAATGAAAACTTGTTTGAATTTATTAAAGATTGATGACAGTATTTTTTCAAAAGGGGCAATTGGTTACGAGTAAGTTTACTCTATTTGCTAAAAAGAATATCCAATATTTCTGAGTTTGAAATTGAATGGAGCTCTAATCTAATATATTGAATTTCTTCATTCAATGACTCATGTTAACACAGATTAATTCATATAAGTCTTTCATAATACTGCCTTTGAAGACTTCTTAACATCGATTTGGAATATTTGTGGAAAAGAAATCTAATAATTATTATAGAATATATTAATAGAGGATTTAGAATATGCTAAATATGGTTCAAACATCCTAAGGATTGGCACATTTTTATATAGAATCAAATTTAAACTAGAAAAAAAAATCATAAATAACATAGAAAGAGGTGGAGATTTAGAAGAATAATCAATAGAAAGAAGAGCAGATAGTATGAATCCGCTTTTTAAAACATTTATCACATATTTAGTATCAAAACAAATTCCATTCCCATTATTACTCAAAACATTGAAAATGGATTACTATAACTTAAAAATTGGATATCGAATAACTGATATGAGAGAATTAGTAGTTGATCCTAAATTTAAAAGTTATATGAAATAATATCATGGTGTAATTTGCAATAAATAGGATCCTGATGAAAATTTAGATCATATTATTACTAGATAATATCCAATAAAAGCAAATAATAATGGAAAGAAATATGAATTGAATTGGCCAAGATTAATTAAGAAATAAGTTAAATTAATTTTTGAGAATAGAGAATTACTACAATAATAACTAATAGAAATTCATTAGAACCAGAATTTTATGAAAGTTTATAATGAATTAATTAAAATAAATGACAATAATAAAAAGAAAATGCAAACTAAAGAAATATTAATAGAATTGGTTGCATATATTAAATCCATTCAAAATCAATAATGAATCATTATTTTATTTATTATATACATATTAGTAAATTATTATTAAATACTCTCTTATAATTTGATAAATACTTTAGTATTAATGCTATATTAAAATTAAGCTATATTTTAATTCCTAAATTAGAGAAAATTCTTATTTAAAATACACTTATTTTTATTTTCTTAAATTTGATTAGCTTATAAAAGAATCTATATAATTGTAGAATCCATATGTTTATTTTAATTAATATTATCATTTTCGTTATTCTCATATAAATGATTTAAATAATGAACTTCTTTTTATTACATATATCGAATATAAAAATAAGTCATAAGGATATTGGAGAATTATAAAAACTTCAGTTTTAAATTGTGTTTCAAGATCTACCTAAATTGATTATTTTATTGAATAATCCTTATTTAAGCTTAACATTGCCTATGGATTTATGATTTTATTGTATACATTCACTTGAAGCTTGTGTATTTAATTTTTCTGAAATTTTTGATCAATTTATTTCCTTATAAAATTCAAAAATAAAATTAGCCATATTTTTAATATATCTATGTCAAAGATCTAGTGGCAACAAAAATAAATAATCAATATCTTAAGTCTAATCATGCGATGCAACAAAAGATTCAATTGTTTTTAATATAAGAAATTATCTATTTTAAATTAGAATATCTAGCATTAAATCTAGATTCTCAATTTTGTTTTAAATAAAATTACAGATTATTAGTCTATTATTATTCTTAATAAAAACTACAGATTTATAAAAAATGGATAGACCAATCAAATGAAATTTATATCTCTTTAATTAATTAATTAAAGTTATTATTGATAAGTTTAATTATTTTTATATTTTAATATTATTTAGTTTAAATAAAGAGAAAGATGATTGCTAGTAATTACATTTTTAATCTATAATGGCTTAAATTATGAAAATATAAACCATGTTATGATAAAGACTGTCCTATTAATTAGATAATAACTTTTTTCTCTATTAGGTTATACCCAAGTTGAATTACTTTATTATGGCAAATAATAGCATGTAAATAGTTTTAGGTTTTAAATTTTTAAGTATACTTGATCTATGATAGAAAGATAATAAATATTTTTAAGGAATGTCATAATAATAATAATCAATTGAATACTTATCTCTTAATTATTATTCATTAAAATAACAATCTTATTCTTAACATTCTAAATTTAAGCACATTCCTAGCATTTGTACTATCTCTTCTTATCAACTAATCATAAAAATAAATTTCATTACTAATATATATTTATTATCATTCTCAAAATTAACCATAAAGTTCTTACCATCATTTGGCATTTTTGGTACTCACTAAAGTAAAAGAAGGCCTAACTCTTTAACTAATCTTAAATATAATAAATAAAAAGAAAGATGAAATTATTAATGATATTACTAATAAGAATTCATGAAATAAATAATTTAAAGTCTGCAATCCCCCATGAAGCAGCTAGATCTGAGACACTACTGCTCCATACAAAGAAGGCATAATCTAAATTGTGATCCATTATGATATCTCCTTTGACAACAAAAGTATCTAAATTGGCATCGCAAGCTATTTAATTGTACCAATAAATAGTTTATTCCCAAATAGTTTTATTATTAAGGATTAAGGTCAACATTTTATTATTAAAGTTACTTGTGAATAAATAAATAGTGAATTGAATCCTTATTTATGTATGAACGGCTATATTTTACAAAAATCTTCTGATTTACATTTCTGGCTAGAGTTTACCCAATATTGTAACTGAACTATCACAAACATATTATTTAAGATCATTAATGGATTAGGTAACTATCCATTTATTCCATTGAGTTGAGCCAATAATAGGGTTAATGGATAAATCATTATACAGATCTTAGGATTCCTATCCATTTTTAGCTTTAAGTTTGAAATTGTATATACCAAAAAGGCCTGAATATAATTGTAATTAATACCATCAGTAACAGTTTAAGTTGATTTCATTTAAATGACCGAATATGGTCTGGTATGAGCAATCTTCTTTTGATAAAACAATTAGGCATCATTCTCACTAGAACCACAATAACTAAATTGACTATCAAAGGTTGAAAATGGGATTTCGTCAATCAAGCCATCATCCAAATAGATTTGAAATTTCTCAGTTGTGTACTTATCTATTTTTTGTATGACAAACGATATTTCAATATCAGTGTGGGGATCATTAAACGAAAAAGACTTTTAAATGTATGAATTGGTAACTTTGGTTGAATCCAAACCAAAATAGGCTCTTCCATTACAAATCTAAACACCACCAGTCTCTGGTAACATTACTTACCATCCATGGCCTGCTGAGAAATCATTTGCAGCAATCTACTGAAATTTGGTTACTTTAGCTTTTTGTATGCAGTCATTTTTTTCAGGACCGACGCATTCATCACAAGAGAAGTTAGGTTCTGAATAGCATTTTTTGATGTAGACTTGAAAATCTTTTAAAATGTTTTGATCAAAAATAACTGGTACTGTAATAGTTTAGGTTCTGAGAGAAACATGAATCTTACGTTTTGTGCTTTTGTAGTTTAAGTCTACTCTCCTTGTCAACTTTTCTTTTCTTAGAGAAAAATAATCAGAGGCATCCCATTCGCATAAATTAATTAAAGGAATTGTACTTTTGATAGTGAATGAGTAAATTTCTAGTCCATCGATCCTAACGACAACCATTGGTGAGAATCTAGTATCAGTATATTTTTATATCAAGTAGAAAACAATCCGAATTTCATAATGCGGATCCAAAAATAGATTTATTTCAACATCTTAATTTTAGATAAATGGGCCAAGGCCTGGAGACAAGCAATATGCATAGGAAATTGTGCTTACGTCATGACTCAAATCCTTAAATTATTCCTAAGTGTTGGTTATTTGCCATCCGTCATTAGCAAAGAGCTTAGATGTCAAGCCTAATCCTTCATAACCCAAAACCCATTAAGAACATTGCGCTTAAACATCCATCATTGAGCAAATTAAACATCCAGGAGGACATGGTGTATATTTGATTTTTACATTACGAATACCCATAGATTTAGGACGAACATAGAATGCGGCGTGAAAGCTAATTATTACAAAGGGATAGCTGTGAGAGACAACTCCTGATAATGTGACCGTTTCATAATAGTCAGTATCTCCAGCAGGATTGACTGTGTAAGATGTTACAGGCATAATGTCTACCAATGACAACATTCTTGAATAAGAAATCTCTTTCCCCTTTCTAATATATGGTAATTTGAGTACATTGCCATTTCTGCAGAAATGTAAAGTTAACAATGAGGAGGCAAATTCTCAAACTCCTTAAAAGCCCCAGCATACACACCCAACATACCCAAACCAAAGTATTAAACTGCGTTTGGATCAGTACACGATCCATCCATTGTCAAACATTCACTTTTTTCTAAGTCTATATTTCTATTTCCAGTCAGACCAGTTATTGAAGCACCATTATTATAGTCATCTATCAAGTAGGTGAATTTCCAGCCTAGTTATTACAATTGATACCGTTTAGATCAGCAGCAGTGAATCTATTGCTAGTAAAACTGGTTTCTAGATCTACGTAAGCATAACTAACAGGCAAGAGAGTTATCCAACATAAAAAATGTATCATATATAATTAATATTAATTGAAACAATTCTGACAATTATTTAATCCAAATTAATTAGAGAATGGGTGCACTAAGATATAATAATTGATTAAATATAATTTATTCATTAATTATCTTTATTCGTAAATCTAATTGTGAACCAAATCATTCTTACGATTCTACTTTATCAATTATGATAAATTCAGGATAGACCTTTGCTTTGCTTATTTTGTCAATATAATTTTAAGTGTCTCTCTTGTCTGAAGCAGAAGGAGAGTTCTAATATTATTAATACCCCATTACATTCTAATCTTTGATTTTTTCATTCGAAATAACATCAAATATCTAACTACTTGGCATCCTATATCTTCCAGGATTCGCCCTGACTATTTTCATTAAATATTGTCTGATCTTCTAAAATCTCTCCCTAACTCTTTTTTATTGTTCTCCTCTGTTTGTAAGTACTCTACGAAAAAGCCAATTCTTTTTTTATAACTCTGGGTATTTCTAATTAATTTTCTCCCTGACCTTGTCTATATTCTCTTGTTAGTCCTCCAATTGTGCAAGTACGATTTCCCAAAGGATGATGACGATAAAGATTATATTGATGCTTATCAAAATGATGTAGAAGGGCCAAATTATTTCTTGATTGTCAGAGTTTGAAGCTGAATAGATAGTCATTCCAAGTACAATTGAAGTTTCACAAACTAATGTACTGATCTCATCGATGAAATTCAAATATTATAATTTGTAGGGCTTAAATTTCTTAGTCAATATTGAATAGAGGAAGGTTATAATAAAAATCATGGCTGCTTTAATGATGATCAAGTCCTCGTAAAAAGTCAAGAAGACAATCATGAATCCCTTTTCAAGAATCTTGACGATCTCCCAAAAATAGGCCTTCTGTGAATATTCATTATACAAGTAACCCCAAATTCTTCTGGTCTCTCCGTCTGCCAATTTTTCCCTCCTCTGATATAAACTCAAAAACATATAAATAGGGATCACCAGAGAAAGACAAAGAGTAGAAGGTAAAAGAAAAGTTATCATCCAATTAAAGTGGGTTTGAGTATCGTATCTGTAGGCTACATTCCCTTGAATCCAATAGATGTCTGAGATCTTCCTAAAGGACAATAAGGAAATGAATCCTCCCAACAGAGTAGGCTATAAATATGTAAATAGATATATGGCACTTGTTGTTATTGCACTCTTGTTGGCTTTAGTTATATTGATCACAACTGCAACAGTATATAAAGCTAAAAAGCTGATAATGTATATGACGGGCATGATGAGAGCCCAGATCATTCTAAAGTATATGATATTGATGTCTGATATGGTGATCAAGAAGCAATCCAATGAAAAACTCATTGATTCAACAGGATTACTCACTGATCGAATGCTCGATTACAAAACACTTGGCAATTACAATTAGAATGTTGATATGGCACCAACAATTTGAAGATAGTTGGTCAACACTTTGATTAATACTCCACCAAAACCTGCCTTTGGATTCTTGGCTGATATTCTCAATTTCGATAATTTATTCTCATGGTCTATTTTATTTGCTGTATCAACAGTGCCTTTGACTGAGATTAAAATAGAAATCATGGTCCATAAACTGATAAGACCAATCTTAATAGTGTTGTCACCTATATTTTCACAACTTCCACATTTATACAGAGCACTTGTAGAGAACTTCCCACCTCCTCTTACATTATAAATGTCACATTATTCACAAAGAGCACCAATATGGGCACTAATGCATAGATTATTCCCAGGATTCCAACCACCCACACAATTCTCAGGTAAATTCTAACAATATTCTATAGTATGACTGTATTCATATGGTCTCCAATAAAATGGTTTTAATTTGACTCTTGCTGCATTCACTTCATCCATAGTCAATTGGTTCTTAATTTAACACTACTCCCCTGCCTAGATATTATACTGATCAAATTGGGCATCACACAAAACACAAGTGCCATCTGGTTTTTTGTACTCTCCTCTTTAACACGGGAATGTTTATAAGTCAATTCTTAAAGAATAATTAGTGAGAAAAGAGGAGAATTTGTAAGGAGGATCTTACGAATACAGACTAATTGACACTGAATTGCAAGTGATTTCTAATTGCAAATATCCTTTCTCATTCTAATCTGGATTGAAATACACAATAAGAGAATCTAAGTTGTAATCTTAAGAAGCTTAGTTGAAAGTGACACTCTTCAAATTTATTAGACTTGAATTAAATTCCCCTTCTTTGGAATCTAAGATTTCACGACTTTTAATAGTGCACTCAGTTCCAGTAAGGTTTTTGATTCTGTCATATTGTTTGTTCAAAGGGACGATTCTTAAACTGAAATTGTAGTTGATAAAACTTTAAGAATTTTCATCAAAGAATTTATACGAGGAAATGACCTGACCACTTGGAACCATAATATAATTGTAAACCTATGAACCTATGGTGTAATTACTAAAGGAGATTTAGTCTACAATTTATTGATTATTGTTAATGATTCTCTTGGTTAACAACAATTAGGCTCCTACTTGCGCAGTCAATTAAGAAGGATTGTCGGCCATATTGTCTCCAAAACTCTTAGCTTTATTATTTCTTAGATAATTATTTAAGGTCTTTGGATCATTCATCTAATACTTCCCCATGTACAATCCTCCTCCAACGTTTGCACTATTGTATGTGATCAAGGAATTATATAAATTTAATGAGGAACCATCAGAATGCTAATAATAGATGGCTCCTCCAGATTAAGTAACTGCATTTTGGTTAAAAATACAATTATTTATTAAGGTATTGATTTAGGAGATAAACAAAGCTCCACCATATGTTGCTGTATTCTCTATGAAAACAGTATCTAAGATCTTGACTTCTGCGTTGATATTACCAATCACTGAATCAGATTCTAAAATTCGATTCGAATTTTGTATTTGAATAGATTTTGCATCCTTCTATGATATGACAACACAGCCAAATTAACCACAAGTGTTATTTTTGAATGTACAATCTGTGATGTAAATCAAATTTTTTGACTCTGCCCTGTCAATATTAGTAATTTGAAAGATGCTATTTTCACAACTTGAACAATAATTCTGCTCCATATTGAAGTTTGAAAATGTTAGATAATGCAAAATAGAGACTTGATCTATCTTCAGAATAGTAATCAACGATTATTTTCCATTAATTATCTGATAAAAATTATGGAGGGAGAGTATTTTCTTCCTCTATTCAGTATAAAAAGTATTTATCGTCTTGGGAACCTCAGAATTCGAATTGCATTTATACACAGTATTCACAAAAACCTCTGCCTTCTCCTTTGGACTATCAACAAAACCATTAAATTCTATAATATTCTCCACTGCAATCTCGTTAAATTAAATTGCACTTTAATATTCTAATGTAATATAATAAATAACTACTTTTATTAAGTATTATGTTCATTATTGCTTCTGATAACATTGTAAAATTTTTAACTTCTACATTTTTAAATAGAACTGATTGACAACCCTCACAATTCAAAAATCCATAATTAAAGATATTCTTATATATACAATTTTGCATTGAAACATTCCCCTAATCTATTGAGATCAAATAGTTATTCTACTGGTTCTGTATTTCAGTTTGTCTCAAATCAACAATTTCCTCTAAATAACTAAAATAGCCACTATAAGTATTAGTAATTTGAACATTAGAAAACTAAATCTTAAGTATTAAAGAAGAACTTGTGAAACTTACAGGTATTCTCAAGAAAGGAGTCAACAAGGAATAAGTGTTCTAAATGTTAAAATCTGAAAATTGGATTGAACTAGTCACTCTAGATGGCTCAATATAGATGCATCCTCCTTCATTTCGACTAAATGAATTAGTTACTGTAGTGTTCTTTATTAAGAGATCCAACTATGATTAAGAAGAGTCAACATATAGAGTGCCTCCCTGAGATCTCTCTGAATTCGAGGCTATTGTCTTGCAATTTAAAAATTAAGAATTTATCAAATTCAATGAACCCAAAGATTAAGGTATCAAATAGAACCCTCCTCCAAATAATGCTTGAGTGTTGTTTACATATACGTTATCCAATAAGAGTTCAGAACCTTTGATATATCCAGCTCCTCCTTTGGAGTAGATTGGAAATGAAGCCACCAAATCTTCCAAGTACACTTAATCAGTGTTTGAGAATCCCCAATTTAAATGTTTTGAAAAAGACTCAAACTCTATATTATTCTGATTTATAAACTATGTATCCAGTAATGAAACTGATTTGCCCATCAAAATCAAATTAGAGTTCTATCCATTTGTAACGATATTCTTTTAAAATAATGAATTCCTCATCTCTACTGTTGAATATGGAGTGATCAACAAAATGGTAGATGAGGAAATGAAGGCTATATCTTCAATATAACTGTGTTGAACATTTCTTTCTGACAGTATTTTAGAAAATATTATAGTTTGTTCTTATTCTGATATCACAGCTAATACTCCCTATTACTCTGAAGTTTTGGTAATTAACAGTAAATTTTCAGTGAACTAACAATTCTATAGAGTGATGTTTTCTTATTGCCTTTTATTCTACTTTTCAATGGATTTTATTAAAATTAACGGTAAATTTATGGATGCTAGATTGGATAAAATGAGATTGGACATTTCTATATTCAGGATATTAAAAAAGAACAACATAGTTGTTTGTCTGACTTCATCTACAGAAGATAGACATGATTTTGAAGGATGGAGTATATTAAATTATTTAATCAACTGTCCTGTGAATTAAGTTATGGTAACCTTCTTGGCATTCTTTATAGTGAATTCAGGCAGATTTAGATTTCTCTTAATAAGCACATTTTTCAATTGTAATTCTGTTACATCCAAGTAAATTGTAGAGTTTTCTAAAGTAATGGCACCCTATGCTGTTGTTTTATCCAATATCATGTCATTTTTAATCAATGTAATGTCAGTAATTTATAGTTCCAACAATCTAAAGTTACTGCTTTGAATAATTTCGATGAAACCCTTACTACCGACATAGTAATTATTCTCGAATTTGATATTATCAAAAGTCAAAATGTTTGAAGTGATAGAATCCAAATCTGAGTACACAATATTTATTAAATTTGTGATAACTCTATTGTCATCACCCTGGAGACTATTTGAAAGGAAGTAGAAGTTCTTAAGAACAAAGAGAGGTAATTGAAATAGTTTAGTTCCTTCATAAGTGACACTGTTTTGAATAGTCAAGTCTTACAGCAATACATCAAGAGCACCTTGCAATATAGCGTAACTAGAGTCAGTTAGAGTGTCTCCATCAACAGAAAACTCTTTGATTACGAAGCTTGATTGTCTCTGTGACAAGGGAAAGTAGGTTTCGAATAGTGAGGATCTAATGAAAGTATTTTTAATAGATTTTATCTAAGTGATTTCATGAATTTGATTGTTGCAATTGTCTTCTAAAATTTGAAGGATTATTTAGGTGTTAGTAAATTAGGAATTCATAAGTGTGATGTCTCTAGCCTAGAATTGAAATCTATCAGTAATTTATTAGCTAAACGAGTAGGCTACAATACCTTGAGTGTCCACTATTTTAGAGTTACTAATTTTAAACTTGTCAATTGAAATAATCTGAGGATCCTTGATTTAGAATTAAAATTTATAATTATCTGAATCCTGTATGACTATATTTTCGAGATTTACAGTGACTCTATCAAGTTGAGTAATAGCAATTTAGGTTTGTTTGGATGACTTAACAAATTAAAAATTTTATATTGTGATCTTAGAGAAATCTTGGAGAAGCAAGGTGCCTTGAATGGAGGTCTACTTTGTGATGTCTCCATTGAGAACAATTTCTAACTATTAGAGAGTAAATATATTCTTTCTAAGATTTGAAAGGATCACAGAATTCGGAGGAATAATACAAGGTTCATCATTGTAGTATCTAAAATTCAGAATATATTTAGCTGATTTGATAGATTTCTTATTCAGCTGATCGAAAAGCTTTTCAGATTCAATAGAGAAATGAGTTGATGAAAATAATTGAGATAAAGCCATGTTCTTGTAGAGAAATGTATTCTTGTTAGTAGACTAATCAAATTCATTCTCAAAATCATCCGCACTGCAATAGATGGTGTATTGTTGTTCCAAGTATTAGTAACATTTTTAGTATTGTTTGCATAAGATCTGAGTACTTAGGATTGGATCACGATAGACATACTGATACTGAAGCAAAACTTTGTCAGGTTCATACCCTTTGATACAGGATTTGGAATAGATGGCAAGTTGACTATATTGTGGATTAAAGTAAGGGTTGATTAACTTAATTTCATCGTCATTTAATTCTCTACATAAAGCACAATTGGCAGGACAATCAGTGCATTTATCATTGATTAGGGTTTGAATAGGTTAGTTGGTATTTATCAAGGATGAAGGACATTCAACACAAACATTTTGACCATTTTGTACAATGCATTTTGAACAACTGCACTTCGGAATGCATTTTTCTTAATAGATTTCATATCCATCTTCACAATCTGTGCAATAGACTTCATAGTCATCAGCATTTGTACTGGCACACTTGATACTAAAACTAGTAAAGCAAAAGTTTGCACAAGTTCTTGAACGAAAATAGGGCCTGATTTCCCATTTCCACCCATCCTTATATACTTTGTGTTGCTATTGGCAGGTCCGACAATGTAACTTAGCCAAGCATTGATAACATTAACCAGAGAGCATGTCTGCATAATAACCCTGATTGCAACTCATACAATATTCCATAAACCAAACATAATTCTTGATACAATACCTGCAATTTTTATTAGCGCATTCTTGTAATAGATCTTTCTCTTTTTAAGGTGTTACATCCAAGCTTTTCTTGACTTTTCTATCGATATTAGTAATCACCGTAATATTGTATATTTTCCCCTCTATTGTTGCTGTCATGTAATCCCCAAGCATCAATACAAAATACAAGTAATACCCCCTATTGGGTGTTTGCTCATGATACAACATTATTTAGAAATGATCATCTTCAGGTTCAGGAGCAATGTCAAGAGCATTAAGGTGTGGGATATCTGCATCAGTTATTTCTGACTTTAGCATGCACTTGTCAACACCCCATCCATATTCATAAAAGCTATAAATATACCCTTTTTCACAAAGTGCACATCTCTGGATACTCTCTGCAGAAGGCTTAGAAAAATTGAAATCCCAACTTGTTTAAAGATGAAACATGTGAGTATCATTCGATAATAAATGACGAAAATAGAATTCTTGGTATTGATATATGCAATGAGGCATAGTTTTTGGTTTGCAATTGATCTGATCAGCATCAATAAAGTACTCCATGTCATTAGTACATTTAAAACACTTCATTTAAACGAAAGTCCCGTCCATAGGTATTCCTGGTTGGCATACCATGCAATTGGCTCCGCATTAGAGACATTCATTATTCACAGTATCTAAGTAGTAGCCGAGGTCACATTTCAAACAACCAAATTTGGAGCCATCAAACATACAGTCATTTGGACATAGTGTGGGACATTTGTAACATTCATTTTAATAGAGTGCATAACCTGATTGGCATTCTATACACTTATCTTAATCACAAGAATCACAATTGCTATTAATATTAATACATTCTCCATCAATAATAAAATAACAAGTTTTGCATTCAACTTTTATTTCTTTATCCAATTTCTACTTCAAAATATAGTTAGACTTCGCACTTGTCTCTCCCAAACAACCTTCACATAGTTCTATTTCTATTTTGTTCATTTCAGAATTGAAACTTATAAGGAAATACTCGTAATCTATAGGTATTCTGGCCTTCTTTTAATAAGCACTCGTTTAACTTGTAATCAGTTATTCATAGTCTTATGTGCAAATGGGATTTGATTACCAATGATACTATTAATTGAGACAATCAACACAAAACAATTTCCTTCTATTAAGAAAATCTGGTTCCCGATTTCCTGGACAATCAGCACAATATGTCACTTACCCAAACTAAACATAAAATTAACCTAAACCACAAGCAATTGAATTGACTATCTCCCCTTCGAGTATAGTGACATCTTAAAAGTAGTCTTGGGTTTCTAAGAATGATACTGGAATTCATTACTGATGCATTGCTTATCTTCATTCTCAACATAGGACTATTTACATCCACAACTGCTCTGACTTGGATTATAAGCTCTGTTTGTAGAATCTTAATCAGGACATGTTATACAATGGATTTCAGCTGGACCAAAACAACTTTCACAACTGTAATGACATTCTATTATGAAATGAATCTCTCCTTACTTATAAAATATTCATTGTCAGTATTAAGACAATATTGAAACTAAAACGATTAGATCTGACCAAAGAAACTATAGTACTTATCTCCTCCCAGAGTCATATAGAGAGTTGACTCACTCAAGTGAGTTTTTTAGAACTGATTTTCATCTGTTCTTTTGTTGCGACCTCCATTCCCCCAGTATATCGTATTCTAGATATTATAAACATTTAGAGTTCTTCCTTCTTCATAAATAAACCAATGCCATTCAGTTATTGCCTTGCTGTAATACGAACTCAAATAACTCAACATATCATCAAAATTGGTTTCATAAGGGATATAGGGATCATTCTCATGATAAGTGGTCACAATCAATCCTGATGAGTCTGGTTAATCTGCATTTTGCAAATATTGCCAAAACAACGCTCGATCCCCATAATACCGATTGTCTTCGTATTTGCTCTTCAAAGTTATTCTAAATAGAGCTAAGTTCCTCTGTTGATATAATGGAACCGCAGAAACTTTGACCCATCCACTAATGAGGAATCGATAGTTTTCGTATTTCAATTTTGATAATATACGAGCACTTTAATCATTAAATAGTAAATTATCGAAATTTACAGTTTTAATAGTTCCAGAACACTCATACTTCTTTACGCAAACTATTGATTGTATACTAGCCAAAAAGGAGTCTATATCCCCGTAATAACTGGAGTCCCCATATCTTAAGTCCATATCGCTAATCAAACCGATAAATACACTTAAGTTGTAATTTATTGATGAATCGAATGGATTTATTAACTATTTATATTCTTAAGTATTTACATTAATGATTTAGCCTAAATAATATTCTTTCATTAAATCATCTACTCCAAAAGGTCCCCCTGTTGACATTCCTACGTGAAACGTATCACCCTCTGCATAAAGAAACATACTGTAAGCCTTCAGATTTTCTTTGTAACAAAAATAGAAAAAAACCCATTTCTTGTTAACTGTTGCTGTATCCGCCTTCAGCTCCCTAATTTACATCACTCCTCCATGCTATATTAATAGTCGGTGAGTAAATATCAATTTATCCCTATCTAATTCAATGAAGTAGGATAGCACTATTCGCTCTGAATACATCTCAGTCAGCACATGCATAGTTGATATTGTTTTAGTTAATTCTTCTGGACTCCCATATCCTGCTTCATATTTTGTCCACACTCCCCAACCATAATTTTTCGTTCCTGCATATTCTAAGTCTTATTCAATTATTCTTTATTCTGTATCGGGTTTTGTTATGATATCGAAAACACAATCGCTAATCCCTTAATAAATACTAACATAGTTTCAATTCATACCATATCGCAATTATTAAAACAGTCCTAAAGCACATAAATTTCTTATGTAGTATTAATTAATAAATTTACAAGAAAGTAAAACGAATTGAATAATTAATAACCAAAAGAAAACCTCAATCCTTCAGGTTTTAACTTAATTTCTTGCACTACTAATAAAACCGTTCATTTAATTCACCGTAAACATCTTAACATAAGATTCTACCCTCCATACATATTCATTACTAATTTCAAAACAAGTGATAATTTTTTAATTATTTCTTCTAAATGAAATTAATTTATACATATAACGGTACTTACATGTTAATTATAAGTAAATTAAAAATTAACAGATTGATACAAAATATACCCATTCTTTTAATACCCCTAAGTCGTCTATTGACAATATATTCTGAAAATTGTCATTTTTTCTATACAATTGAAATAACTTTATGGTTAGTTTTGAGAATACTAATAAATATATATTTCAAATTTATTATATTATTTACATGATTAATTAAAAAGAATAGCAATTCGAGAAAGTCGATTGTCATATCATAGGAATGTGCTTAAACTTAGAATGTTAAGAAGAAGATTGTTACTTTGATGAATAATAATTAAGAGATGGTTAAAAGCATAATTAATGCAGAGATTATTGCAAAATTTTTGATGAAGTTGAATTAATATTACAATACTTAATATATGAACTTAAATAATAATTATCAACTCAAACTGATTAATAAATAGAAATCTTAAATTATCAAAGAATATTATCTAATTTAAATTAATAATAATATCTCCTGATATCTCAAGACATTTAATATTTAAAGATTCAATATCATATTTTGAATAAGCAAAAGAACCAAAATTAAATCATATAATATTGTTAATTTATTTATAATTCTTAGGTTTATAATAAGGAATTCAATTA